ATCCCTGTTATTTGCAGGGGTATATTCGTTACGCTGGCACTTAGAACAGGAGAGACGCCCGTCTAGCCTGCTTGGTAGTTAACAGTGACTAATCCAAGGGTCTCTTCAAGCCTGTTCCTGAAAGAAGCCAGGGTATCAGCTCCTGGCTAGCTCGCTCGATATTCCCTTGGTGTAAAGACGTGCCTCCTGCTCTCAGTTTTAAATTCACTGCCACGCAGTTTCCCCGTGTGTCCTTTGGTTTGTGTTTGGCTGCTGAGTGTGTTTCGGATGACCGCTGCAGCAAGAGGGTAGCCAGATTTCCTGCCGGAGGGTTTTTGAGGTTGAGACTAGTGGTGGGTAGGAGGTTCAGAAAGCTCTGCAGCTGGAAGATGTGTGTAGCGAGACCGTCAGCAGCCCATGTGCTGAAGCCAGGGGTTTTCCCTTAACGCCTACCAGCCCGAAGAGAAATTACTCAGCTGCACAATGGAGCTGAAGGGCTGCACCTCCAAAGAAGCATTAATTTTATTTCTGATTACTGGGACGCTGCAAAGAGACTCCTTCTTCAATGTTCATTTTGATTCCCTTTATAAGAGAAGCCATCTCTTAATCAGATCTGTTTTTTAATCTTGAGACGCCACTGAAACCGATGGATCCCGTCGACGAGCACTGTTCACGCAGACGGCCTCCACGAGGTACATGCCCCCATTATACTGTTCCTTAACCTTATAGCTAGGGGCCAAACACAATACAGTAACTAGGGCCATTTAAAATTCTTCTTTTTTTATGGCATGTGTCAGAACTGATCGCGTTTCGTCAAAATGTCAGAAAGAATTGCCCATCAGGAGGAAAACTAATCCATCCATCTTCGAACTGCGTTATTCAATACAGGGGCACAGGGGAGCCGGAGCCTATCCCAGCAAGCAACAGGAGCCAGGCGGGGAACATCCTGGACACTAGTCCATCACAGGGTACATGTAGACACAAACACCAGGACTGTGGGGTGGAAACGGAAGCACCTGGAGGAAACCCAAACAAACACGGGGAGAACATACAGACTCCACACAGATAGCGCTCCAGGTCCAGAATTGAACCCAAGGTCCCAGTGCTGTGAGACAGGACTCCTACCCACTGTGCCACCATAGTTAGCTCAAAATGAATCCAAAAAATGTATTTTTAATACTTCTCAAGATAATATGGGTGCTTACTGTATTTTTGATTAGCAAGATAGGGGCCAATACGAGCAGGGTGAGAAACAGGGTTTACAGCCCTGGGCAACAAGTGAGGAAGGGCCTAGTGTGACTTAGCATGAGAGCAATGCTTCAATTACACCATCCAGCACCTTAAGTTACTGCACAGCTTTTTCTGGTGTTCTGAAACCGTCACATGATGAGCAAAATAAAAAATTGTGTTTACCAGTGTCCTCATTAAAAAATAGGGAGATGTCTAGATTGTTTTCGCATTATTTTAAATATATACAGTACATATAACCAGCTCCATATAATAGCTAAGGAAATAACTAAATTTTTTCATCGTTGTGAAAAAATGGGACGCAAAAGTTCCACTGGAGCCAAAAACAAAAACAACTTTAAAGCGATTGTGTGCTTTTTTCAAAAGTAACACACAATATAACTGAGAATTCAATGCTTGTGCGGTTCGTGCTTTGTTTACTCGAAAGCTTAGCTTGAGAAACCGGACGGGCGAGTTTTTAATTTCATTCTTTCTCACAACACACCCTGCTTCCGTTGCAGGTAGATGGGAGAGGTCACTGGAATTGACCTATCCAGAAACTGATCTCAAGGGGAAAAAAAAAAGATAAAAAAAATAGGATTTCCTCAGCTGATTCTGTGTACGATGGCTGTCTCGGAAAGAAAGCAGCCGTGTTGGGAAAAGTTGACATCCACACTCTCAGGTTTTGCCATTGAATCTATCTCTCGGTCAGCGCCTCAGGAGGGACAGTTATCCGTCTTTCAACAAATGTAAAAAATCCCTTCAACAAGTCATTTTTCCTTTCCCTGAAACTGTGCAGATGTCACTGGTAATAGAGCAAAGAGCATTGATTGCGAGCTTCAGCCAGGTGCCCCTGAATCCAATAGCTCCTTACGCACAGCGCCTTTCCTAGCTGATAATTGTGCCTCAAGGTGGCGGTCTTTCATCATTAGTCCACACCAGCTGTGGCTGCTTGTCCGTTTATCTTGCAGACTCGCAGCTTTACAGCCTCAGGAGTGAGCAAGTGAGTTAGAAATGGAAAGGGACGTATATTAATAGACTATCAACAGTTTCTTTGGTGTGATAACCAGAAGAAAATGTACAAGCATTTTGGAAACATGTTGAACTGAGGTCCTAGACGCTAGTCAACATGGGTTTAGAAATGATACCGTTTAAGTTTTAGGAACAAGCAACAACGGCAATAAAAGCGCATGGTTTATACGATATAAAGTGTATTCATGTTTCCAGTCGTTTTTTTTTTCATGAAGTTCCAAATAAAATATGAATTCTGGAAACATCGAGGGATCTCCGCGTTTGGACTAAGAACAGGATTGGAAGCTTCTTTCAGGATACGACTAGAGGAGATCATCGGAATAATTAAGTACCAACTCCTCGTGTGTAGACGGTCTGATGTCCAGATTCATGTGGATACTTTGACACACAGTTAAATGTAGACGACGCGCTGTTAACATCAAACTGTTTTCAGTATTTCTGGATCCAGTGAAGACCAGTCTATATCGACTTGGAATTCTCCAGCATGTTTTATGGCAACTTTATTCCTCGTTCCCTAAAATACAGGTTTTCCACCGAATTCCGGACCCGAGTCCACTTCCTCTTTCACTGACACGTGTTTCTGTCTCTATGGAGACTGCACTCTTCCGTTTCCATGGGCACGGATATACACAAGGCGCTCCCTGCACACGACTTCCAGATCCTAGAGATCACTTAATTATCGTTGTAAAAGAAAGTGGGGGCAACATTTAAAGTGATTTAAACCAGATTTATTAATGCCGTGGTAATCTTCCCTGGTGGTGCATTTCAGAAAAAAATGGTAAGTTTGAACCACATTTATTAGAAGTTCATGACCAGCGCAAACGAGCTGTAAATATCTGACTTGGTTTTGTGTTGGTTAGTGTGACGTTTTCAAGACCTTTAATCTGGAAAATAAACCATATTTATATAAAATATCAACAGCCAAATGCCGCATTGTTTCGTTAATTTATTGACCTTATGTAATCAAAGTATTTAGCATATTTAATATTTAGACACTCTGGCACCCTTGCACAGTACTTATGGATAATTTTACAAATATAAACGTATAAACACACTCCAGTTTACATGTCATATCAGTACACAATATTAATGCTTGCATTCTTACATAGAATCAAGGCCTTAAAATTCACCAGAAATATGGAGTTACATTAACCAGCTTTCTTTGCCACCACTCTGCACTGAAGTACTTGAGAATAAGCTTGCGGTGTGTTTCTGTTCCGTTTCGCTTTGGAAATGCGAGTGCAAACTGAACAGGCACTCGCAAGACCCATGCAGAGACCTGAGAGTGCGCTCTCACCCTCGATGCGTCTCTGATTTTAAAAAGCAGTCTTGTCCTTTCACAGCCTATGAGTGTGGTCTCTTCCTCGGTGAGGTCTGGAAGTTCTCATTCTCGCCGCTATCGCACCCGAGCGCACACATCCCAGGTGGATGAGACTCTCTTTGCATCACCGAAAAAAGTAAAGTCTCTCTCTCTCTTTCTTTTTTAAATCTGTCCATCTTCAATTGCAAAGAAACAGGCACACTCGTCTAGCCCCACTTAACATTATGGGGAAAATATAGGGCAATTCACAATTGTTCCTTCAGAAAAAATAAATTCTTCTGTGTTTTGACATTCTGCAAGTCAGAACGTTTTTTGGTCTTTAGGTTTACTCCAAAACTCAAGAACAACACAGATAAAAAAAAAATTCAAACACGCCAGAGAAAGTCTTCAGTTTGATTCCGACTCCGGTTTCTTGTTTTGTTTTCCTCCCTCTCCAAGCTGTCAGCCTGCGATGGTCCGGATCCGGAAGCTCAGAGGGGGCTGGGAGCTCGTGGAATGTCCCGCTCGGCCCCAGTCCAGAAAACGCAGAAACCGGACACAATCCGCATCATCACCAAGGACCTGATCCGAGACCTGAAGCAAGTGTCCCAGTGTCTGCTTTCTTGAGAGCTGCCGTCAGAAATACTGTCATACTGTAGAGGTTACACAGAGTTAGGCGGAGACAAGTACTTAAGCCCTCTTCAATTCAGGACACCTTTCTGTGCATCTCTTCCAAATTCAGTGTCTTTGTCTTCTGGCTGGGTTGCACATTGACCCATCGTCTCCACCCCACGTCGACTATTGTTTTTCTCTCTCTTTAGAATCCCGCACAGCGACCCTTCGGGCCTGTCCATCATCCTGTCCCCGGACGAGTTCCACAGAATCACACTGGCGTCTCGCGTCCCCACCAAAGAAGAGATGCAGGCGGCGCTGGAGGCTCAGCGTAAGGAGAGAGAGGCAGCCATGGTGAGGGCAGCACTCCGTCTTACAGGGGATGACTTCCCCGGGGAACTACCGGACCAGTTTTTAGGGTAGCAGCCTAAGGTTCTTGTACTGTTCACGTGAAACAGGGAGTTGTGTGCTTGAACAGAGTTAACAGTGGCAGAAGGGCTATCAAACAACAAATAATGCTGGGCTGCTGGTGTGATGGGTGCAGCTCTGCAGGAATTAGATTATGGTCACTTGCAGGCTCAGAGCCTATTCTCAGCACCACTGTAGACTGTGCTATCTCAGATGGCTGGGTCTTCTGCTTTGGTTGAATTCTACGCTGTCTAGGTTTCAAGGTTTGTGACATTCCTGTTGGGATGCGCTCAGTGCCCCTGAGCCCTGTTCCACTGGAATAGTCAGCTGCTGTTAACCTTTCAGACAGTATTTCAGAAATCCAGCTTGAATACGTGGCGCATGACATGGAATTTCAGATACGTCAGCAGACATTTTGTGTCTCCCTTTTGCAATTTGTGGGTTTTTGCACTTGGCCTCGGCAGGATGCAGCAGAGGACAGGAAGGCTCAAATTCGGCAGGCAGAACTGTCCCGTCAAAAGAACCAGGGCCTGAGTGATCTGGAGGCAGAGGCCAAGGAGAGAGCGCAGTACCTCCTGGAGAGAGCCAACGCCATGAGGATGGAGCAAGAAGACGAAGTTAAACAACTCAATGAGGTTTGTTTGACCTTTCCTGTGGTTCGATTACCTACCTCTGGCCTTGGGGCACCAGCCTGTGTGACCCACTGGGGGATCTGTCCCTCACAATGTTAATATCTACCCAAAGATTTTTTCCAAGGTCTTCTTTTGAGGAGCCTTGAGCTGCAGGCTTTTATTTTCAGTAAAAGTGTTTTATTTTATTTTCAGTAAAACACTCATTTTTTTCTAGGAACTGCATTACCTTTGGTAACGGCCTGCTAATAATAATAACAATAAAACATAAATAATAATAATAGTAATTATTATTATTCCTTATACTTATACTTATGTAGTGCTGCAATGGCAGCCATAGTGTGCCAGTACACTCACCACACACCAGCAGCAACCTTAGTTTTTCCCAGGAGGTCTCCCTTCCAGGTATTTAACAGGCTCACACCTGCTGAACTCCGGTGGGCTGCCAGTTGTGAGTTGCAGGGTGATATACAGTAGCTGCTGGCACTTATAAAATGGTACTTTAGATGGTAGGGGTTCTTTAGAATATGTGGTCTATATTTTCAGTTTAGTAAGTAATAGAAAAATAGTGTCTTCCAGAGCTGCTCTTAGTTATCTCCCCAGGATTATGGAAAATTATATCATGGAAGAGTCTTTTCCTTTCCCGGTAATACACATTTGATCCCCCCCAGTAACATGATTCAGCCCTGTCTTTGTCTTCTGTTAATCTGGAACCAAAAGTGGTTTCCATTTCACTGTTTCTCCACAATACCCCCCCAAAAAAGATCACACACAGCAGTTTTGGTGAATGGAAAAAGTAAAGTTTAACTCCACGCTGACAAGTCAGGAACTGAATTCAAACTAAAAGCGTGGACTCAGCCTCGTTCCTTTGCAGCCAACACGCTCTGGTGCGACTCCCCCACTCGAGTGTGGGCTTGAGCCGGCCAGGCTGACCCCACAGCGCTCTGTCTCCCCGCCCGTGCCTCGCAGCTGATCCTGGGCGCGCAGTGCCACGCGGTGCGAGACGCTCAGATGATGGAAAAGCAGCAGATCCTGGCCGAGCTCCAGGAGGAGGAGCGGCGCTTGGACGCCATGATGGAGGTGGATCGGCGGCGAGCCCTGGAGGCCCAGGAGCGCATTGAGGAGCTGCGCAAACAGCAGAGGATCCAGTGAGACCTGCGCCTGCAGCCGCGCACGCACACACATGCTCACAGTGTTTACCACGGAAGGGGCTCTGCGCCCCTGTGGCTTTCTTTGGTTCGCAAGTGCATGGTAAAACAAAGGAAACTTTCAGTTAACCTAAGCTGAAAGTTGAATTGCCTGCTGGCACTCTTAAAGCAGCATTGGTAAAGGCTACTGTCACGTCTTTCTATGTACGTTTGTAAGCTTAAATTGTTCCTAAATATTTTCTGTATTGGTTTCATAGCTGTTACTTTTGTGTTTAGGTTTCTTTTAGAATGAGGTATTTTGTCCTTTGGCGAGTCTCCTCTGACTGCTTTTTCTGTGCCACAGATTTTGTGTTTTCTGGACTATTTTTCAATTAAATCTAAGAAAGAAGCAGCACTAAGAAGTGACAGACCTGCTTGCCCTGAATTAGCTGGCCACTTGATTGATTGGTTGCATATTATAATGCATCTTATTGTAACAGTGACCTGAAACTACTGGAATTACTTTGGTAACGGAGAAACAAACAGAAAACATGGACTGGCTGCATCCCAAAATATTGTGCATTTTGTGGAAACAAAGTTTTTTTTCGAAGAAGGAATTGCACAGGGCAGGGGCCGCAGTGTGTCTCAGTGTGTGTGTGTGTGGTCGCTCTGTAGGGGGAAGCTGCTGATCACGCAGCAGATGGAAGACCGCTCAGAGGAGCGCCTGCTGAAGCAGGAGCTCAAGGAGCAGGAAGGGCTGCAGATGCTCGAGAACTTGGAGCGGCTGCAGATGGAGGAACTGGAGGTGAGAGCCGGTCTCCAGCCACAAGCATTTACATGCTAAGAGGAAACCGCGAAGAGGACCGTTTAGGCTTTATGGTCGATCAGCAGACACTCAATAAAATAGCAGATGGTGTTTCTACTGTTCTGAACTATTTGTTGCTGTGCATGTTAGACCCTGATATGTGATGCCAGACAGTATCAATCCACAAATTCTAGCATCATTAACTTTAATGATTAACTGTAATAATTACATTAGCAACAATTGCTCATTCTCATACTCACTGGCTTCATTTTCTACTTTTTTTTTAGGGTCATCTTGTACTTTTTTTTTAGAGTCTGTAGATTCCTATGCAAAAGTCTGACTCTGTTTTTTTTCGACCTCAGGGAGGTTGCTGTGATCAGCAGAGATGGAAAGAAAACCTAAAAAAAAAGATACAGATGCCAGTGCAAAGCTTTGACCTCTGCCTCTGCTGGCTGGCGCTCAGTGGTTTTTTTCGGAAATGAATATGAAATGGTGTGTCTTTTTCGTTTGCCCAGGCTCTGGAGAAGAAGAAAGAGGAGCAGCGCCGCCTGCAGCTTGAAATCCTCCGGATCAACGAGGAGAGCCTGAAGGCCAGGGAGCGCAAGAAGGAGGAGGAGAGGATGGCGGACCTGCATGCCCTGGAGTACACGCGCAAGAAGATGGTGAGAGGGAGGCGGGAAAGACTAAATGATAGCACCCACTGCCTTTTCCCCTTGCCATCAGGGGTACCCTCGGAGAACTCCCAAATAAAGTCTGTGGGCTGTGATGGAAGTGCCATGCCATTAGGATTTATTAGCCATTAGGGCTGCGGGGTGCTGTTAAGACAGGACAGGATCCAGCGACACCAGGGGAGGGAATTTGGAGGCTCCTAATGCACCAGTCTGTTTTTGCCTAAGATCAAGTTTGGAGACATAAAATTAGGGTTGAGCACAGCAGATGAAAAGTACCCATTGGTCTCGCTGTGTCTTCCACTACTTAAACAAGAGCTTTCTACATGGCTTGATACTCACAAATTTTAAAAACATTTGGAAACCTGACTGCAATGAGGATCGGTTCTCATTTGTTCTGAGTGCTGTGTACACTCTGCGCCCCCCTGTGACAGGTGGTGCAGCAGCATTAAACGCCAGGCTGCAGCAGTGACGCGGACCGGGACGATGGGATTATGGGACGATGGGCTCTGTTTTGTTTTCTTTCCAGGAGCGGGAGGCCGAGTACGAGGCCGAGCAGGAGCGATTAAAGCGAGAGAAAGAGAAGGAGGTGGCTCGTCTGCGTGCCCTGCAGGAGAGAGACAAGGACCACAAGGCAGAGCAGGTGAGCAAGGCCGATATCGTTAGTGCATTATCACCTGCATTAAAGCCAATCTGCCAGAACAGCATCCTGTCTAGAAATGCTTGTAAAGTCAAAGATATGTTTCATCACTTTATCACCAACATTTCTATGGTTATCAGTTGCCTCCCAAAACCTGTATCGAAAGGCACCGCTTTCATTTACGCCATACCAGTGAAATGGAGGAACTGGTCAAAAAGTTCAGAAGGGATCCCTTTGGTTTTGTGGTTTCATTTTCTATCTTATTTGTTTTAAATACACTTATATGATATTAAATAGCTACACAACATATAGATATGTACATACGGTATAGAAGAGTTTTGTGTTAAACTGAGGTGTACTTACAAAGTCCTAAAATGCCTTACAATGGGGTGGTGTGGTGGCTCTGTGGCTCAGGATCTGCGCCTGTGCCTGGAAGGTTGCCGGTTCGTATCCCGCGGCCGGCAGAGGAATCCTACTCTGATGGGCCCTTAACCCCAACTGCTCCAGGGGTGCCCTATAAATGGCTGACCCTGCGCTCTGACCCCAAGCTTCTCTCCCTGTCTGTGTATCTCATGGAGAGCAAGCTGGGGTCTGCGAAAAGACAAATTCCTAATGCTAGAAATTGTCTGTGGCTGATAAAGTGATCTTATCTTATCTAAAAGATGAGCGGCAATTCTTTGGAAATTTAATTCAAATGAAAATAGAAAGGCTCAGCCTCTCCTTGCTCTGTCCTCCAGGACGAGCTGCGCGCTCGCAGGAACCAGGAGGCGGCGGAGAGAGAGTGGAGGCGGAAGGAGAAGGAGCAGGCGCTGAAGCAGACCGAGGAAGAGGAGCGGCTGAAACGAGCCCGGCTGGAGCAGGTGGCGCACAAGGAGCACCTCCTGGCCATCCAGGCGGGCCGGGAGCGGGCCGAGTTCGAGCGCGTGCTGAGGTAAGGGCCCGCCGCCGCCGGCTCGCCTCCGCGGTGTCTGACTCCAGCTATCAGTACAGCATCAGGCCCTGATGCCGAAAACTGAAAACCCAGGGGAAGATCTCTGAAGATGGTTATCTGACTTAAAAAAAAGAAAATCTGTGGTGATTCACGTTGCTCATTGTGCACGGATTAATTTTGAAAGTCACAGAAGATTTTTTGTAGGTTTCCCGGTGAACCTCTTTTCAGATCAAAGGGAAGCTGCAGTGCCAGTTTTCTATTTCAGGGTTAGAAAGAACTGGCATTGATGAGTGAATTTCAAACCCCAGTGAAAGTAAAATGTACACAGCAACTTGTAGGAGCTTCACTTTCCATAGCAAAATAGACACAATTTCCAGGTATGTGCAGCGCCACGTTCTGTGATTCATAACAAGGCAACAAAACTTTCCGTGATGTAAAGCGTCCCTATGACATTGTAAACAAGCAGACTTGTGAATTAATCTCTTGTAATCCAATAGAAATATTGCTCTCGACTTCAGGACGGTTTTGCTGACAAATACTACTTGTTGCCTGCAGATCGCATTGGAACATTTCTGGGGTGAAATGTCTATTGCACATCAGAAAACCATTTATTTTCATTTATTTCTGCGTTGAAATGTCTATTGCACACCTGTATTTATTCACTCCTACATCACATTATACGAGAGGGAGTGTCTTCATTATCCCCGGGGAGCAAGTTGTTTTACAGCAGCAGTGTTGGTGTACAGACGGACAGAAGAAAAAAAAATGAGAGGAACAACAATACACATGCATAGAAGGTCAAGTGTTAAGTAACGATATGGCTACAGGTATGAATGAGAAGTTGAATCTGTTGGTTTTGGAGTTGGGGAGTCAGTATCTGCGTTCTGATGGGAGTAACTCGAAGTTATTGAACAAGGGGTGTGAAGGATCATCGCAGATGGATTTTGCTTTACGCAAAACACGTGATAGATGGAGGAGAGGGCTGAAAGATCAGGGCCAATGACATGTTTTCTGGCATGTTTTCACATATTTCTCGCATATTTTTCATGAGTCATTACAGTGACTAGTGAGCAGGAAGGGCCGCCTCATGTCGAAATTTGTGCGAACTCTCTCTCTCAGGTGTGGTGAGACCAGGGGTTTGCGACAACATGGCGACTTAAAGTACTTTCACAAAATTAATGATTTTGTGCTCAATTTGAAATTTGTACATGTTTTCTGTACCTCCAATGAAGTTGTTTTGTCACTGAGATTTAATAACCAGTCCGAGAACTTGGGACTGCAGTAAAGTCGAGATTAGAACAGAAGAATTTGAGAGCAGTGAGAGGAGGCTGTTAGTCACGTCGTGTTCATCTGTTTGCTTACGGCTTGTTGATTCAAGGATCTTGTGCAGGTATTTCTTGTAGGATCCCTCATGTAAAACATCGGGGCCCGCGTTGCTCTGTGTCACGAAAGCGTTCTTTCCTGACCCTAGGCAGATGACACAATCCGGGGTAGAGTGAGGAAAACACGGGGAAAAAGGCATGCAGGGATCAGGAAAGAAAACAAGGGGCGTGTCCATAGTGCGCTGGTGTTCGGGGAAGGTGTGGCTGAGGCAAACTGTCCAAAACTGAGTCCAATGGGGAATCTGAGAGAAGGCAAAATCCAGAACTGGGCGGTCCATCCAAGACAAACAGAATTAAAACTGGAACCGGGTCGGAACCGGCAGGAACAGGAACTTTAAAACTTTGACGTTACCAGGCGCTTCCAGGTCCCGGACTCTCCTGGTACGGGAACCAATGCAGAGCCCGGAACAGAGTGAGCGCCCGGCCTTTATAGGAGGGGGGATAGGAACCAGACGCAGGTGCAGGGAATGAGCACTGAACAAGGAAGGGCTGGAGCGTCCTCAAGAGGAGGGGTTCACGATCGTGACACCCCGACCGCGAGGCCTCAGAACTCTCTCACGCCCTCCCCCCCCCGGCTCTGTCCGCAGGGTGCAGCAGGAGGCCATCGCGCGCGAGAAGGGGCAGGAGGAGAAGCGCCGGCTGCAGCTGCAGCGCCACGCGGAGGGGGTGCGGCAGCAGGTGCGGGAGAGGGAGGCCCGCGGCCTGGAGGTGCGCCGGGAGGTGTTCCGCGAGGGCGAGCGGCTGGGCGAGGAGGCCCGCAGCCGGCGGGCGCGGCTCGACGAGATCAAGGAGAAGAAACTGAGGGAGCTGAGGTGAGGCCCAAAAACAATGAACTGAAACTCTCCTCATACTTCAAACCAGTGCTGTTTTTCAAATTCCACATACCAGGTGCCAAAGCCTATCCTGGCAAGGCATGATGCACCCTGGATGGGATGCCAGTCCATTACCGAACACGTCACGGCTACTTTTCACAGGAGGCAATTAACCTACCAGTATTCCACATATCAGTGATATTTTAAAATGCCATCTAGGTTTTTAATTCAGAAAAAAACAAATCCAAGATCTTTCTTATTGCAGACTCAGAAATCAGTTTTCTTTTCTAATGCATTGCTGTTCTTGGCATTGGGATTGAGCAGAAATGTAGAGAATTTTAAGAAATGATAAACGTGTATCGATACAGTTAAAACTGTGTGCCTTTCTGTTGTCTTCTGTGCAGAGCGGCTGGACTCCCAGAGAAATACTGCATCGAAGTTGAGAGAAAAGCCCACACATTGCCTACTGTTGCTCACTGAGATTTAGGCTGCCGAATACAGAAAGACGGATTCCTGAATTGTTCTCATGTACTGATCGAGCTCCTAAAAGTAGAAAACTCTGTTTTCATATACAACACTGTGGACCCTTCATTGAACTAAGAGACAAATGGATATCCACACAAAATATTGATTTAGTCTCTCTAGAACTACTGTAAAATTAGACATTGTTATTAATGTTTCACGCAACACTTTAATTAAAAGCCATTGTTCACTCTGTTTGTGCTCTGTGTAAATCTGAAGCAACCTAGCATCAATTACCAAAATTGCATGGTATGATTGAATTAGCTTGTGGTTCAATATAAAGGTTTGAATATATCTGTTGTAATAAAGAGAAATCATTCTTTATCAGCTACAGTACTTCAGATTCAAAGATTTTCTTAACACTCGGCTTTGTTTGAATTACAGCTGTTTGAATTACTGTTTGCTATGTGTGCCAGACTATGAGATCTGCATTCTTCAGCAGTACGTTTAGCGTCAAAGAAAACTATTATTCTCAGATCAATAAGTTACTAGCAATCAAATAATGGGTCAGATGGTCTCCTCCCATTTATAATCTTTAGCATGTTCTTGTGACAGAAAGTTAAGTCTGACTATATTAAATGTTGTATTTATTGCTTTAGACTCTATGGAGTTTGCATAGTGTCCCCATGGATTGTGTGCAAATACTCCAGTGTCCTTTTAGCCCCACAAAACTTGGCCTGGTTAATTGCTTTTTGAAAATGTCCCTATGCATGCATGTGAATTCCCTGTGACGCACTCATATCTTTCAAACCATAACGTCCTCATTTATTATTGCCCTTATTTGTGCCCTGTGCTTCTGGGATGGACTCTAGGGTGCCATGATGCTGAAATAAATGGCTTTCTGATGGCGAAAGGTCTGAAAGAAGTATAATGCTGCACAGAATAATGATAGAAAGGAACAAGTAATAGATTTATTCCATGCTGAAAAAAGAAGAAAGAAAACAATGTTTCGGCCACTGAGCCTTCTTTGGGTGTGAACAACACCCAAAACGTTGTGTTTTCTTTCTTCTTTTCAGCATGGAATAAACCTATTACTTGTTCATTTGCAGCCTACGCATGCTGATGCAGCTATAGTAGCAGCACCTGAGCTACTAAAATGATAGAGATACCAGTACTGTCCACAGACTAGATATCACACCAGTACCCCTGCGCAGTAGCAAGAATTTTCCCCCCAAATCTGCTTTGATTCTGTTTGTGGGTCTCCTTTTTGTCCCTTTGTCATGTATTCACCACCTCATTTGTGTGGGGTTCTTCAAAGTGAGAGCTTGGAGGATGTTTTGAGATGGGGTTTAGAATAGCACCAGGAAAGGTCATCATAGAAAGGTCTTGTTCATCCAATCATCGATTTAGGGCAGTCACATGGACTGGACTGGAGGATGGGTTAGTATATGTATGTAAAAGTAATACTTTTACATATAGATATACTGGAAAATGTTAGTGTCAAGCAAAATTGAAAAAATAATTATTCGTAATCACAAGATTAGACAAGTCGAAGAATTGAAATGGATAGTATATTGTTTTTAGAACGTTCTAAAGATGGAAAATTCTTACACGATATTGTCAACATATATATTTTTGAATTTATGCAACACCAGTTTTTTTTAATTCCTTGGTCATCACTCTTTACAGACATCGGTTAGAAAATTAATACAAGAGAAAATGAGAAATGCGTGTACGTTCTAACCTGTGGTCAAGGAGACAGTTAATGCGCACAGACAAAGTCATGTCACAGCTCTTAAAAAAATAAATGAAGTAAAGCCCGGTAGCATCATACTAACTTCCTGGAAGAGACTTATCTTTTTAAGAGAAGTTCTCTTGCAGGATAAAAGCTCAGAGTTCAGTGCCTATCTCGCTTCCTGTAAGCATCAAGCCAGATACATCGAGACAGGTGAAGAAATGTCCAGCAAAACCTCTCTTTTTCTTTGGATTTTTATGATCTCCTGCCACCTTCACCCGTGCACAGAAGGTACGTAACAAGTGGATTTGAACGGCTCTTTGTGCTGTTTTGATCACACAATAGTAAAGATCTTTAGAGTACACACACAGAGCTGGTACTCATCATAAACATTTAAAAGCAAATTATATTAGTTTTGGTAACATTACCGTAAATGAACAAACCATTCAGGTGTTTTTTCTCATTTTCGGTGGTTCCTGAACTGCCTTTTAAAAAATATTTACAGTATATATGGAGATTAGTGTCACATGTGAACGAACACTAAGCCAAACACTGCTAAAAGAGGACTTAAAAGTACTCTACTAATAGGATAATATTTTAGTATACTGTAGTAATTCAGACAAAATGTTTTTCTTTAGTTTTTTTCTTGAATCCTAAATGTAATGCCAAGAATACTTTGTAATTGATATTGAGGAAAAAGCTAAATAAATATTTCCTGAAAATACATACAGTAAGTGACCAAAGGGGCAAGACTTTTAACAGGCTATTCATTCTGTTCCATTTAATTTAAGGTTTAAAAGGATATATTAGATATATATAATATTCTTCCTTCATTTTGCTAGCAATTTTAAAATGTATATCTTCACTTAAAGGATACTTTGTGCATTTTTTCTCTTTTAACTATATGTAGTTTGTATTTGTACTTCAACTTTCCTGTCAACTTGCCAGTCTTTATTGTGTCACACCTGAATTTGTTCATGGTGGATTTTCATCTGAAACTTGTGCTTTGAGTATGAAACTCATTAATATAGTCCCTTATAAAAGTATTCACCCCCCTTTCAATAACACCTCATCTTGTAGAAGTGACAAATTGTGTATACACATTTTTGTGAAGCGGCTATTTTAAATAAAAATGTTCAAACTTTATGGATGAAGCAAAACTGCAAAGAAAAATTAAATTAAAATATGATGATTGCATAGTCATCCCCTTGCGTGCAAGCATTGTTAACAGCAGGGACAACTGCAAGTCTTTTTTTTTTTGTGCTCTTCTGTTATGAGAACTGTACCGCAAGCAGTCACAGTATGGGAAGTATGCTTTGCTCTATCTGATTTTCTGAAAGTAGGCAGAGTGAGAACATGGACCATGAAATTTATTATATGTATGATATGTATGATATTATATAGCTTATGAAATTATGATGATATTGCCAAAGCATCACAAAACATAGAATATGCTGAGTTTTTGGTTCAGTCAGACCCTATTTTCACTTATGTATTTTTCATGTCTGTCCTGTTTAAGTATTAGTAGTGTCCAGTTACTGTTTATGAACACGTATAATGATCTGCAAATCCAAATCCGGAGCCTGACGACGGAGCCTGAACCTCAGCAGAAATATAGTCTGTGTATTAGATTTTAGTGTTGCTATTAAATTTCACCGACTTTGTGGGGAAAAAAATATATTTTAAAAAAATAAACCAGGAGTGAAACCCAAGGTTTCATATGAATGTTATTTTTCTAGCGTAGAATTAAATATTTGGAAGAAGTACAAATTCTCTCAAGAATAAATGGAATAATCCACTGTCTGTATGTGTGATATAATGTGGGTAAGGTCTATGTTTTATCAACTCCAAACTTCGACTTTTTTCTCTTCATTTTTAGGTACCCCAGTCTCTACTTTATGATTAACCTGTGCTTTATTTACTCCCAACATTTTAGTTTAATTGTTTTTATGTATTCAAATAAATTATATTATCTAATGTGACATTCCTTTTTGTAGGAACCCCAAGGTCTGTATTAACAGCCTACCAGCCTGCTCACATCAGTGTTCCAGTTGGAAGTCCGGTCACTCTACACTGCAGCTTCAACTACACAGAGGACCATAAAAAGCTTGGAAAATTTTTCACTCTGGAAGCAGATGAGAGGAAATACATTAAGGAGAAGAACCAGAGTGTAGATTGCAGTTCAGATGTCCCACATGCAGACCGTTATGTGTGTAAATTCTCCATCACCACCGAAAACATCAGGCCTGAGAATGAGACTGTTTACTACTGTGAAGTGAAGATACCGCTGTCTAACACAGATGTGAAGGGCTCTGGAACAAGGGTTTCAGTTTATGGTGAGGGAGAATTTTCTTTTTTTATCATGCTGGTCGTGCTCTGCTCACGTAGCTGGTGTTGGAGCAGAGCTCTTTGTTCTTTAATGCGTTAGAAGTTTAAAGGTATTGAATTACACCAATCTTTACATTCCAGATTAGATTTTTTCCCAGAAAAAACTGAAATGTGACTAAAATGGTCTTTATTTTAAACTTAATTATTACTATAGAGCTTGAGAACCCAAGTCTGTGACCTTTAGCCCAGTTTTAACGAGCCAGAATATAGGTTAATTGAATTGATTTCATAATTTAGTTCAAAACATTGGGCTCTTGGAATCAAAACATTCAATTTTTGCATGTGTACTTTTAGCGGTGTGTTTGTTGTGTGAATGCAGGGTCTCTGACACCTCTGCTGTGTTCCAGCTGAGCCCTCCACCACAGCAGTCCAGGTGTCCTCGCTCCTGGTGGCCGGTGAAGAAAACTCCCTGAGTTGCTCGGTCACAGGCTTCTACCCTGAGAGCATCTCTGTCCTCTGGTTCCGGGGAGATGCCCCAGCGCCTCTCAGCAGCACCAGCCCTGTCCTCACCAGTCACAGCAATGGCACCTTCTCTGTGCTCAGCTCTGTGAGCTTCACCCCCACAGCCGCAGACCATGGGGCTGAGTACAGCTGTGAGGCCTCTCACCCGGCCTGGAGACACAGCGTGAGGGGGAGCACTACCCTGGACGTCAAGTGTGAGTTCAAAGACCTAGGAAGGTTGTGAATATTGTTGATAATTAGTTGGACATCAGGCATCATTGTACAGTACCTGCAATGACCCTTTCTACCATAATCATTATTCCATTGGCCCTTTAGACCTTTAAGACTAAATATATCTTGCTTCAAAACTCTAAAAATATTATACTGTACTTGTAATGGTATTGCAAAGAGTTCTATATTGTTATATATTCTATATTCTATATATATTGTTCAATGTAGAAAACACTTAATACAGGGGTGTATAAGGAAAAGTAAATAAAGCAATGTGTTTTCATGGATTACAATTAATCCTTAGGACAAACTTGGCTTTGCACTCTGCAATGTTTTTAAGATTCCGCTTTATTTTTTACATTTTGTAAGCAAGGCACATCATAAATCTTTCTGTTGTAGGATGTGTTTTTTCTTCTCATTTCATTGGGGGGGGTATGAATAAATCTAGAGAACACTGTATCTGGCTTGTAGGTGATATTGTACACCTGATCAGGAAGTGTAATCAGAGGGATGCTAGTGCTTTGCTTTCTCCCACTCTCTCCAGACGGGCCCAGGGCAGTGAACGTGACTCTCCTCTCTGCCTATGTGGGCGGCCAGCATGTGCTGTCCCAGAATGCTGTGCGGTTGTCAGTGGGCGCCCCTCTGGCTGTGTCCTGCTCCGCTGATGGTAACCCCCCGCCCAGGACAGAGTGGGTGAGGGCCGGTGAGGGGGTGCTGACAGGGGGGGAAACTGGTCCTGGACAGACCCCCTTGATCGAGGCTGTGCAGAAGGAGCATGAGGGGGTGTACTGGTGTGTAGCCGAGAACAGCTATGGACAGAGGAACACCAGCTTCTTCCTACACGTTTCTGAAAGCCCAGGTACATGTTCGACTGAAACACTTCTCACACAATGCTGTTTAAATTTAAATGAATACACATAAATCATATTATTTCTGACCGCTTCCAGCCACATTCTGCACTTATCAAAGAACACCTAGGAATTATTGAATGCTCACAGCCAAATGACAGTAAGCTATTGAGATGCTTGTCTGGTGAAGTGAATTTTAACAGCAGAATGTGATTTTAGTTCTGCAGAGATATGGAATTTTCTCATTGCAAGTTGTATAATGTGATTATAAAAAAGAAAGGTGATAAAAAAATTGACTAAATGATAAATAACAGACAAGTGCACAGGGAGGGACTGAATCGCAAAACTAAGAATTAAGGACAAAGGGGGAAACTTATGATCAAGAAAATGCTTGTTTGGTTTCTAGTCGGTAAGTGGCTGTTTCTTGAAGGTAGACATTTTTTCATTTGAGAAATTATACCTAATTATACTAAATCCACAGACCCAAACTGTCCCGGTTAAGTGGAAAAAATGAAACATAAGAAACCTTTTTTGTTTGTTTTTTCCCTTGCAGTAGATGGTTATCCTTTCACCTGTGTTGTGATAAAATGTCTGGCCATTGGGTTTCTCCTCGTCCTGGGCACTGCGGTGTGTATCTATATCAAGATTAAAAACCCACAAACCAGTCGGATCTGATACCCTGGAGGTTCTGTGACTCTGAGACTTTGTAAAGGTGGATTCTCAGCACACAGCGCCAATTGTGAATACTCAACAGTGTCCTATCAAACCCATGCTGTATATAGAACAGCAGTCATTCTTGCCTGTTACCTCTCTGCAATATGAGATGGTGGAGCGGTGGCTCTGTGGCTCAGGATTTGTGTCTGTGCCTGGAAGGTTGCCGGTTCGTATCCCGCGGCCGGCAGAGGAATCCTACTCCGTTGGACCCCTGAGCAAGGCCCTTAACCCCAACTGCTCTAGGGGCACCATATAAATGGCTGACCCTGCGCTCTGACCCCAAGCTTCTCTCCCTGTCTGTGTGTCTCATGGAGAGCAAGTTGGGGTATGCGAAAAGACAAAATTCCTAATACAAGACATTGTCTATGGCCAATAAAGTGATCTTATCTTAAGATGGATAAATACCGACAGTATACAGCAAGAACCGACTCACCATCTCCATGTTTGATCTGTTTCCTGGTGTCACCATTCAGGAATCTGAGAGCATATTGGTGTAGAAAGAAAAGATACTAGAGTTCTACAGTTCCCAAATATAGTATTTCGAATGACTGCAAATTTCTTTTGTTTAAAATAAATGAATTACTTGCATATATGTTGTTAGTATTATATAGTTGGGAGATAAATCTTGCAGCCTTTTCTCTTAAATACACTTTTCAAGATGTAGGATGTTTTTTGTTTGTAGATAATTGACTAAGAAAAGGAAAAGGCCCACCTAGTACTTATCACGTGCTGACTCTTTTTGAATAAAGTGAACTGGACTGGTGGCACGATTACTGGCACATCCTTGGACTCAATTACATGTCTAATGGAGCGACATATTACTATTCTTGCACATAAAATCATAGATGACCCCTCTCATCCGCTCTTTTTAGAATATACTGTCCTACCCTCTGAGAGGAGGTACCAGATCCCCTGAATAAAGATCAAGAGAGCATGTGCTCCCTTTTTACCTAAGAGCCTTCAATTGTTGAATAATTTAAAAAACATGTTTGCAGTTAGGTATTATTATAATTATTATAATTGTTTTAGACTCTTTACAAGCAAATCATGTGTTTTTAATCTTATTGTACTGGAAGAGTTCTGACTGAGCGATGTTATTGAATGTTGTTTTGTATTGTAGTAATATTGTACGGTTGTTGTATTTTATTATTGTCCTATATGTTAGACCTTAATGAGCTCTAGATATGCAAGTCAAATTCTCTGCTGTAGCAACATAGTGCTGTCTCTAGAATCCAGCTGGAGCGCTGGGCTCTAGTTTGTAGTTTTCTGGATTAAGGCTGCTTTTTTTTAAATAAAGTCTCTTGATTGAAATCTGCATGTACGAACACACAGAAGACATGATGGATTAATACCCTCATTATTTCCTTTTTTTTAATTATAAAATGTTAGCATGCACAAAGGAGTTGGGCAGCCAGTTAACCTTGGACCCCTAGAGGTTTATTTTCTCCTAACTAAGGAGTTTCTCTCCTCCGTTGTCTTCTGGTCTTCTGTTCTGTATTGACAAAATGTTATCGTCAATTGTATTGTCAAGCACCTTGGGACAACCTTGCTGTGAAAGGCACTATATAAAAATAAATTGCATTGAATTGAATTGAATTGATTGTTGTTTGAAAACAAATCTATAAACGGTATAAGCCATCCTGTGTGATAACATTAACCAGGCTTTGTTTTCTGTTACTTTCTGCACATTGTCTGTCTATCTGTACCTGTTATGAAGCCACACACATTTGAATCCCTCTTAAATTGGATTACAAGTGGATTGAGAGATGGTGCTGCGTCTCTGCATGGCTTTGTTGTCTTTGGCATGATTCAGCCATTAGTCAGAGTGTGCTCAGCCATTCTGCTGTGGTTCAAGTGAGCTTTATCGCTGACTTCCTGGAGTTCTGACCCTGCTGCCTGCCTCTCTTCCAAGAATTCACTGCCAGTGCCATTTTCACCCACACTGAGCAACGAGGCTGTTTCCCAAGCTACAAGCTTCATCTTTACAGACAATCCTTTAAACACCTCAGTGTATTGTCACGATTTGGCATCTCCTTCGCCTGTCGGAGGTGAGTTCTGTGAGGTAAGAATTCAGATGCATCTGTTACCATAGAGTGTGTTTCAGTACAGCAGAAAACAATCCTTTATCTGATATTTTATATCATTGTGTTATTTTCACTCAGACACCAGCTGGTATCTGATTATAGCAGGTTATTTTTCTAATAAGAAGACAGGGTGTGATGAGCCGTCTGCGCGTATGTAACTATTTCATGGAAGTAAAATAAAGACATCTCCTTTCCTTTTTCAATTCCCTTTTAACATTTTTTTTTAAATCAGAAACACAGAAGTAAATGCTAATATCCTTCGTGCAGGGAAATCCTGTCTTTCACATTCCCCTCCACTCACACAAACTACTGCCTTTAACATTTGGTGACTTTAAAGTAACACACCGTAACAGACTTGAAATTGCCTGCTTCTATATTGTGTAAAGAGTGCCCTTAAACCCAGAATTATGGTTGTCCTATTTATTTCAATCTTTGGGTGTCTATACATCACAAGGCATTCTTCAATCACAGCAGGGCCCATCCTGCTCATACTGTACTGTATATAAACTGCATGATTCTGAGAACTGGGTGTAAATAGGCATCATCCTTCTGTTAAGGCTTTGATTAGATTTAATGTTCAATCCCTTCATTAAAAAAACGCCCTACTGGAAATACTACAAGTACTTTTTCAGCCACCCTTGGTCCTGCGACAATTCATCTTCCATCGCATGCTTCTTCTATCTCCTGAACACCATCGTGATCTCAGGCTGTTTCCCTGTGAGAGCTCAGGTTTGGGTTCTGTCAGAATAATCTGTCAGTGAAAGAGGAAGTTGAATGGTGAGACTTGTGGGACAATTCAAGGTTTCACGTTGTTAAACATCATTACACATACAATCGAACAGAGGTGCGAGTGCTGAGACACGTTGGCCGAAAACGAGTGTTTATTGTGTAAAAGCATCACTGCGATATGCTGTCACCTCCCTCCCACAGTGAAGAGTACAGCATTAAACTCCATTTTTCAGGGCCACTCAAGTGTCTTTGAGGACGTTTAACAGCTGAGACCGGGGAGCAGAACAGTACTAACAACGCTGATGGTGTCTGGAATCTCTGACAGTTGAAGACAGTTTGCATCCAGGAATCCACACCCAGTTTTTAGTCTGAACCCGACCTTTAATTTCTTCCAACTAATGTTTTCCTTTTCCCCCCTCTCAAAGGATGTACTCGGAAAAACTGCAGTTTATTTTTCAAACATAAAAATCGCATTTCTTTCACGCGAAGGGTGGAATGAGATGTGGAGTTTTAAGAGTTTTCCGTTTGTCATCAAAGCTGTTTTGCACTGCTGTGCTCTTTCATATCACCGCTCACACAGGTCTTGGTTTGCAGACGCTTTAGCTACAATCTACAGGACAGTGTTTTTTTTCTAAAGTACAAAGCCTTTGTGTGTGTGTGTTGTTTTAACAAAAATGATGACTCTCGGTTTCGGTTCTGTGAAGCTCACTTGTAACTTTTCAACATTATTATCTTTGAAGGAGCACATCATGCAGACATCACAAGGTTCAGTATGGCTGTCCAAAAATAGCTAAAACCCTATTATTCAACATGTGCAGCTTTTGAGAGCTCAAAAAAAGAAGAACAAGCCATGAAGGAACAGATATGGTAATATGCGGTAAAGGATTTCCCTGAATCTTATCTAAGGCTGCAGGCTTTTAATCACACCCCTTCAACTTCCTTTGTAAAACATACATCTTACTTCATGTCATTCAGCTTTAAGTTTGAGAAACTGCTCCTTCTGTTTTCAGGACAGGGAGAGTTCCTCTACTCACCTGCCAGTCCTAACCCATACCTGGACCAGCGAGACATCATGAGGAGAGGAGTGTGAGGACAGCCAGTCTCTAGAGCAGGAATGGTGTGCGCAGAAGGCTTTGTCTCCCTGCAGCTTCTCTTTCTCTTCATTCAGCTCCTGCTGGGACAAGGAAGAGGTAGGCAGCCTTTTTTCTGTCTCTCGGAGCTGGGTTTCAGGCGTGCAAACACAAGACTCTTCAGTGATTCAGTCCACAGTCCCCTCTCTGGCCAGTGTGAATTAGAAAAGGCAGTGCTTCGAGTAGGTTTTTTTTCTCTTACATTGATAAAGCAGGAATGCCAGAAAGTTTGTCACGATGATTTAAACAGCTGGAAGAGCTTCCACAAGCAGCTGGAGCAGACGATATAGCCGAAAAGAGGGGAGAGTGCTACCTAGTGAACTCTTTAAGTGAAAGTGGAGGTCGCAGGTCAGAGAGTGAACCCGCAGGAGACAGGAGAACAGAATTTAATCCATAGGTTTCCCTCAGCCCTCCAGTCCCCTTTAACAGCATTAAGAACAGTGCGTATTTCAATGTACCTATTATAAAATACACAGAATAAGACATTTTATTTTTATGTCAGAGTCTTATCCACTTTGCATGTGACAATTGGGGAAATACAATACCTTTGGAAACGATATGTGAAAAGCTGTTATTTTAGTATTTGTCTATATCTATCATTCATGTAATATCATACGAGCATTTAAGCATTTAATGGTGGTGAGCACAGTAAATAGTCCAGATTACCTCAAAATTAATTATAGCTCTTGCATTAATTATTGTAGTATGTTAATATTTTACTATTGGCCTTCTAGCAAGTATTATCTATCAAGGCAATATTTATTGCAAAATATAATTGTTGTGCAAGACCCTGTACCTCTTGAATCACAGTTACATCATGGTCGAAACATTTTGAAATGTGTGTTTGTATTTGTACATTAGCTTAGAAGAAGTGGACATATTTTGTAATTTTCTCAAATTCAAGCGCTCAGATCTTGGCAACCTTTATATTGTACATGAATAGGAAGAATTGTAAAAAATGAATTAATAATGAATAAAAATATGAATAACAGAAATAGACATTAAAACAAATATATATATATTTTAACTTAGGCAGTTTTAGTGCAACTTTACCTGAATTTCATGACATTTTTCCAAACATCAAGCTGTTCATAGGTTATTTAAAGCAAATATATATATTTTTTTCATTGAAATGTAACTTGAGACTTTCAGAACTTTTCAGAAGACAATTTCTCCTGCTACATCGTTCACTAAAATATTTAATTATTTTCTTTGCTTATACAGTATATTTAAAGAACTAGTGTGTAGATTTAGGAAAATGGATCAATACATCAGGCAAAAATGGTGCAAATGTTGTCAAGGACTCATTTCTCTATGATGACCAAATGTACTTATACTGAACAGTAATCTGATTTGTTAAACAGATTCTATTTTTTTTAAACCCCACCAACTACAAATAGTATAGAATTTAATTACAGAATAGATAAGTTACCCTTAATTGCCAACACAAAAGGATTTTTTGTATACAATTTGAATTGTACAAATATAAGTATCCTATTTATATTATATAAACAGTGTATTTCTAGCCTATACATAAATAAATGCTAGGAATACATAAATGAATATATAAATGTTCATAAAAAAAACCTAAACGGCCTATATATTAATGGATTTAAAAGACATAATCACCACTTCAAATAGATAATACATATGTATTCTGAGTGAAGACATTCAATTTGCTTCATTGCCCTATTTTCTTGTTTTAATATTTTTTATCTGTCTGCATCTATCATCATATCATGTAAGATCATAGAGCAACATTACAAATTTTTGAGCATTTAAGAAGTTTGCAGTGGTGAGCATAATAAATATTCCAGTTACTGTACAGTAATTTACAGAATTAACTGATCCTAAACAGAATTTAATCCGTCGGTTCTCTCAGCCCTCCACTGTGGTTAAACAGTATTAAGAACAGTGCATGGCGGTTTTGCACTTCTCAATATGCATATTCTAAAATATTTCCGCCCCAAATGTAAACATAATTACTGCAGTGATAATAATTGCAAACATATATTTATAGTGCACATTACACTGTGCATGTATTATATACTGCATATATACTGTATCCCATAATGTAAGTCGATGTGTGTATAGTTTTTCATGCTGCATTGTGTCCAATATATACAGTATACAGTATATGTAGGGCTTAGTACCTCACACGTTCATGTACTGTATATCTGTTTTATAGATAAATAATGCAAGACATACACAACAGCTTTTTGAAATGTTTATTTTTGCTTGACTGTATTTGTTTACCTGCTTCAAGATAATGCAGCACTTTCTGTATTTTTAACTCTGGGCCACCACTGGTGCCTGGTCGCACGGCTGCAGACACAGACCCGTACTGCACATCCTGAAAGAGGAGCAGCTCAGGCCGTAGCCCGGCTTTCTCTGCCCGTGAGATTTCACAGCCGGATCGCTTTCACGAGCCTCTGGGAGCCACCCGTACCCCATGTCAAGTGAAAAACACGTTTTCCAAGAATCGAACCGCCTGGCAGTGTAGGAGCTGTCAAAGCCAGTATCAGAAAACAGCCCTTTCATGTGGCGTGTACATCTGGGGGCTGTGAACTGTATTCCTTCGCTGCCATTAACTTCAAAGTTCACAGTTTTTTTATCACAATCCTTTTTTTTCAGCTTTTTATTGTGGTTTTCCATATTTTCACAATATCTAAGTTTTATGAGAACAAAAACGCGAGTCAAGCGCAAACATTCGTCTTACATCTAAAGGGAACCATTTTGGTCTCATAATGGAATTATTGAAATATTAAAATGTAATGGTGAGGAAAGAGATTATTTAAAAATGTTTATATACATAGTATAGAGAAACCACATGTGATATTTTAGACACCAATTCCGCCCTAACTTAGGAATTAAGAAGTTTTGAACATATTTTAGAGGAAAATAACTTAGATGTCTAGAGAACATCCTCTGAGAATAAACAAAATAAGCACAAATAAAAAAGGTACATACAAAGTAGGGGAACTCAATGGTAAAAGTTTTATTTTATTAAAAAGACTAGGCTTATGTATGCTTAGTCTCAGAAGTCCATTTTCTGTGTGAGACAATAGTACATTTGGTTTGCGTGTGTGTGTATGTTTCTAATTCAGGCTACAATTCAGGTACCGAAAGACCACCTGTGATCTCATAGGGTCAGTTTTTCTCTCAGTCAGTTGAACCTACTGTAACACAAGGAGTCAACACTTTCTAAATAACTTCAAACTACATGTTTCAGTTCCCCTTGTCTCTCTGATCTCAGCTGTTACTGTCTGCTCTGTCTTCTTCGGGGGTAATATTTGTCTTCCTTGTTTTATTGAACTGGACTGTGCTGTGAAACAAATTTTCCTGAGAGGATAATAATAAAGCTTGAATTGAAATTGAAATGTCACTATTTTTAAAGAAAGGAGTTTGGTTTGATAATGTTCTTTCTTGTCTTAGCTGGCTTGAACCCCAGTTCCCAGACCAAGTATTCTTGAATTAAACATGATAGTTCCCATGCTGTTCGAACGCTAATCTAATCCATCTTCACGTTTTTGTTTTAATACAGGTATCAGTGGCATCTCTGTCCCTGACCAAATATTCATTCCTCTTCTCACACTGCTTGTCGAATTGTATCTCACGTTGGCCATTTATCAGACCTTTTACAGCCTGCTTAAAGTTATCCTGTAGTGTTTGTTTTCGGTTTCTTTTTAATTTTTTAACACATCTGTTTTTAAAAAGCCAATTTGGTTTCTGAAGCGAAAGGAAATGGCTTTTAATTCTGCCTCTGTGACAAGTCTGACCTGCCATTAAGCTCAGTCACCAGGGATTTATAGGGATTGCAGAAACAGAATTGAACTCCAGTGTGTTTTATTAGTTTGAGAGTCTGTGCATCATGTTGTGTCTTGTGGCTGAAGTCACAGTGTCAGATCTGATCTTGTCTTTAGCTGAGGGGTGGAAGATGTTGGAGGTGCAGCCCTCAAAATCTGTCTCTGTGTGTTCTTATCCTCTTCTGTTGTTTTTTTTTTAAACAAGCAAACATGCCTTTCGGGCACAATAGAGTATGTGCTTCTCTTTTTAAACCAGCCCTCCGTCATTCGAAAGCTGCATATATTGTTAACACATCTGATTTACCGAAAGTAGACAGGAGTGAACCTAAGATCCTAGAAAAAGGTTAGAAATAAGAGGAGATTACTCAGCCCCAATCAGCCTGTTAAGAATCTACTACTACTGTGATATGTTAAAAGTAAAGAGTTTATGAAACTTTATGAAACCTTTATGCATGGATTACACTTTTTTATGTAATGCCTTCAAAGATAGTTTACAATATAATTGGCCCATTATAGAAAAAAGAAAATGCTGAGTATCTGGTTTAGTATGATCCTCTTTTCAGGTGTATACAATTGTTCACATGTTTTTCCTCCACATATTTTAAAAATATCAATTTACTTTGTATACGTCGCACACTTATATCTTTAATGACTCACACACAATCAGTTTTAACAGCTTCCAACATTCCAAGCAGCTTCGTGGCTTAAAAGAAAAACTATGCAAACATGTAGTCTATTTATTAAATTTTAACTTGCAATTCATTCTGATAGATATTGTGGGAGAAAATATTTTTTTAATTCCAACAGCAATAGTAATGAAGTGCACATTCTCTTTCAAATGCTTTTCTTCCAGAAGGGGAATAAATATTTTAATGATCTGCTTTTAAATGATTAACCTGTGCTTGATTTACTCCCAGAATTTTAGTTTAATTGTTTTTATGTATTCAAATAAATTCTATGATCTAATGTGACATTCCTTTTTGTAGGAACCCCAAGGTCTGTATTAACAGCCTACCAGCCTGCTCACATCAGTGTTCCAGTTGGAAGTCCGGTCACTCTACACTGCAGCTTCAACTACACAGGGGACCATAAAAAGTTTGGAAAATTTTTCACTCTGGAAGCAGATGAGAGGAAATACATAAAGGAGAAGAACCAGAGTGTAGATTGCAGTTCAGATGTCCCACATGCAGACCGTTCTGTGTGTAAATTTTCCATTACCACCGAAAACATCAGGCCTGAGAATGAGACTGTTTACTACTGTGAAGTGAAGATACCGCTGTCTAACACAGATGTGAAGGGCTCTGGAACAAGGGTTTCAGTTTATGGTGAGGGAGAATGTTCTTTTTTTATCATGCTGGTCGTGCTCTGCTCACGTAGCTAGTGTTGGAGCAGAGCTCTTTGTTCTTTAATGCATTAGAACTTTAAAAGGTATTGAATTACACCAATCTTTACATTCCAGATTAGATTTTTTCTCAGAAAAAACTGAAATGTGAATAAAATGGTCCTTAACTTAAACTGAATTATTACTGTAGAGCTTGAAAAAAACCCAAGTCCGTGACCTTTGCCCAGTTTTAACGAGCCAGAATATAGGTAAATTGAATTGATTTCATATTTCAGTTCAAAATATTGGGCTCTTGGAATCAAAACATTCAATTTTTGCATGTGTACTTTTAGCGGTGTGTTTGTTGTGTGAATGCAGGGTCTCTGACACCTCTGCTGTGTTCCAGCTGAGCCCTCCACCACAGCAGTCCAGGTGTCCTCGCTCCTGGTGGCCGGTGAAGAAAACTCCCTGAGTTGCTCGGTCACAGGCTTCTACCCTGAGAGCATCTCTGTCCTCTGGTTCCGGGGAGATGCCCCAGCGCCTCTCAGCAGCACCAGCCCTGTCCTCACCAGTCACAGCAATGGCACCTTCTCTGTGCTCAGCTCTGTGAGCTTCACCCCCACAGCCGCAGACCATGGGGCTGAGTACAGCTGTGAGGCCTCTCACCCGGCCTGGAGACACAGCGTGAGGGGGAGCACTACCCTGGACGTCAAGTGTGAGTTCAAAAATAAGAACATGAGAAACGGAGGCTATTTCAATCTTTGGTTGCCAGTAGCTAATGAATCTGAGGATCTCATGTTTTTTTGTGAAAGTAGGCAGGTATTAGCTTTAACAACAGGGCTGGGTAGCTAGTTTTTGGTTTAAAAAACCGACAGGTCCATTTTAAATGCACTTCTCCATAGTTTCCACTTGTGTCATCTGGTTTATGATTCACTATTACAAGTTAAGTGACCTGGGTGTGTTTATGATGGTGAATGCTACTTATTACAGTGAAGTAAAGGCTTTGTTGACATTTACCAGAAACTAAAGGCAATTTCTATTCCTACTCCAGCTATTATTCCATAGGCCTTTAAAACTTGAGTGAGATTATTCTCTGGAAAACCTTTCCTTCTAATTTAATTTATTGGCTTGTATAGCCAATTCCTTTATTACTAACGACACAAACTTATGAGTTAAGCAACAGAATGAGGGTTAGGGTCTGATCAGGAAGTGTAATCAGAGGGATGCTAGTGCTTTGCTTTCTCCCACTCTCTCCAGACGGGCCCAGGGCAGTGAACGTGACTCTCCTCTCTGCCTATGTGGGCGGCCAGCATGTGCTGTCCCAGAATGCTGTGCGGTTGTCAGTGGGCGCCCCTCTGGCTGTGTCCTGCTCCGCTGATGGTAACCCCCCGCCCAGGACAGAGTGGGTGAGGGCCGGTGAGGGGGTGCTGACAGGGGGGGAAACTGGACCTGGACAGACCCCCTTGATTGAGGCTGTGCAGAAGGAGCACGAGGGGGTGTACTGGTGTGTAGCCGAGAACAGCTATGGACAGAGGAACGTCAGCTTCACCCTGCACGTTTCTGAAAGCCCAGGTACACGTTCGACTGAAACACTTCTCACACAATGCTGTTTAAATTTAAATGAATACACATAAATCATATTATTTCTGATTGCTTCCAGCCACATTCTACACTAATCAAAGAACACGAACATGTTTTATAGGAATTATTGGACAACTGAAGCAAAATAACAGAAGCCTCTGTATTTATATGCGGTGAAGTGACGTGAATTTTAACAGTGGGATGAGAACCTTGGCTCAGCACAGGTGTAGGTTTTGTGATGATAAAATAATCAGGATGTAATTTAACACCACATGTTAAGAGGCAGTGAAAATAAAAGCCAAGACGCTGTGTGAAAAGTTGTTTTTCATGGCATGCATCAGCAGGTGCATGACGGTCACTGAAGCAAAAGGGAGTCTGATGCAGACGGCACTTTCAAAAAAAGGAAATTTGTGGGAGGAAAGGCAAAGTGTAATTGAAACCTGCAGAAATGCCCTTTTTACGTAGTCATCAGCTGAGCTTTTATGGTTTCCAAGGCCTACACACGATCAGAGCTGACTGTCTGGTTTGACACAGGAAAGCCAGAAAAATATGACAAAGGCTCATATTAGACCAGTCTGCTGATTTTGCGATTGTGTCCTAGTTTAGAAGGTGTGCTTACATTTACAAGAAAATCACACCAGACCTGCAAGCAGGAGTGGAATTTGTTGCAAACTCATAGCAGGGATCAATCAAGCTTATTAACTCTCACATTTTCTATTTCAGTTTCCGATCGAGGTTGGTAATCACATGAAAACACTCCAGTTATATTCGTGGTCTTCTGTTCTGTATTGTCAAAATGTGTCGTTAATTGCATTGTTAAGCGCCTTGGGGCAACCCTGTTGTGAAAGTCGCTATATAAAAATAAATTGAATTTTATATTTCAGTTTGTGGTTACAAGGGAATGTGTAACTTTCTTTCTGAAGTTCTTTATTGCAGCCAAGGCCGGTGTTGAATGCGTAAGCCATTAGCTCACCTCCAATGTGGCGGAGGTGTGTTATGTGATGTGAAGGAATTCATACGTGCGACACAAATTCTATGTTGAAAATTGTAAAAAAAATAGGATATTGACTTATTCTCCGTGTGAAAAGCAGATGACCCAGTGCTTTCACATCGGCTATTAATATATATTTTTTATCTTCAGCCCTATCAGGTTATATCCCCTTAGTTTACGGCCTCATCACAGTTCCTGTCCTCTTATTATTGGTCATCATCATCGTTTGCCTGTGTAAGAATAATGAATTCAGGAAAAAGGAGAAGGCACATGGAGCTCAGCCTCTTTCAGGTATGTGCATGTAGAAAGGTGCACTCCTGCTGTTGAGACTGTACGGTAGTGCTGAACTAAATTAGCCGAGTCAGTGCTGCTGCTTCACAGTTTTGGGTTCATGGGCTCAGCTCCAGCCTTGGATGTCTGTGTGTGTGGAGCTTGCATGTTCTGTCCGTGCCCAGGTGGGGTTTCCTGGCTATTTCTCAGAAACACGCTGTTTAGCTTTGACGGGTCTCTCTAATGTTCTCTATTCTCCATGGCTCTATGGTGGATTCTCTGTGCATCTGGGAGAGTCTCTGCCACAGATTTTGGATAACAGATGGACTTGTGATGTGAGCCCAAGATCACCAGCTGATTTACTTTTTTACACTTAACATAAAATAGATCCAATCTCACCATTTTAGTTTTCTTCGTTCTCCTGTTCAGCTCTTCATTTAAGAATTTGAATGCTTTAATTTTAAGTTGTCAGGCACCAGGTTAACTCTGCTTTTATTCCTCTTCACAGGTCAGGAATCACAGAGGTAAGCTTGTCACTTTACAGAAGGTTATGTCAACTATTCAGACGGTAGAAAAGGATGCAGGAAATAACCTTCAAAGCTATCCTATTTAGCGAGATGTACCCATTTGATAATTTTAATCTATGCTTCCCTTTGAGCTAAAACAAGACATCTGCACACTGCAATGAAGAAATAAGAGGTTCAGTTGCTCAGTTTCCAATCCTTTGAGTATCTCCTGGCTCTCTTTCACTGGCACACAGCATCAGAACATCATGTTTGCCGGTCTCTCCTGGAAGCTGGAGGTACCTTGAAATGAAGAATATGATACTTCAATTTTAACAAGAAAACTGTGAACTCTTAAAGCTCCAAAACCAAAAGGCTTACATCAAGTATTATGAATTTGGATTCCACACTAGGAAGCGATAATGTTTTCGGCAGCAATGTATCAATTGTAAGCTCCATTCGCCCAAAACTTTTCATGCCTAATACAAATCCATACAGAAACCATTGTGACCGACCTAAAAAGTCAGCAGTCTGGGCTGAAGAGCTGGCATTCACTTTTCTTATTAAACCCTGCCAACTTCTTTTCTGCTAGGCTCTTTTTTCTGGTACAATTTCTGCCACACCAAGCCAAAGTACGCACTGTGTCCCTCCAGTAACGAGGCAGTAACCAGGAGTCGCCTGTACTGCACTCGGGTTTGGGTGTGAAGCCGCAGTATCGACTGCTTCTAATCTCTCCGCGTCGTGTACACCTGAACGTTGGAGACCACGCACAGAGACCCCGGCATTGCAGTTAGCTTCAAAGAGCACCTCGGCACGGCTGACCACCTGTAGGGAAAGTACATTTAGTCACATCGAACGATTGCACCAGTTAAGAGTGTCAGCTACAGAGCTTCCTGTAGCTTTGATCTCGGCTGTTATGTAAATATGATTAATGCGGAGGTTTTGTGGTGTTTGGTGGTGTTGGTTGGCGACTTGATACCTGCACGTTTTTTGGAAAATATCAATTACATTTCAAGCGCTTCCCCTCCCCAACCCACAGGCACTTTTGGCGAATTCACTTGGTTTCTGCAGAAGGGCGTCTTTTATGTTTGTACAGTACTGGCAAAAAGTGCAAAACCCCGCTCACACCAACGCAAATGTAAAATGGCTGAGTGTGTGTTAAAGCAGAGGAAGAGACGTCTTTTGCGAGTTTCAGAACACACTGGCTGCGGCATCTGGTTTTTCTTTTCATTTGCGTAAATAGTAGATTACCGTGCTGTTACCTGCCGCTGAATTAAACAGGCTGTCCGTGTTTGATTTTGTACACAGGGTATAATTTTAATAAATGAGCTTTTTGTTTTAGTTTCATAGTGGTTAAAATCATGACTGACCGATTGTCCGATGTGTAACTACAGTTGTGGTATCAGTCAATCGTCTATGGATGTGTGCTACATGCCTTTGTGGTGTCATTGTATCAGTTATTGTGTATCTTTTTTTCCTGTTCTCAGACAAACAGCCCCCGATGAGGGACAGGCATCAACAGAAGGTATTCAATTACATATTGTTTTAATGTAATGCTTATAAAACCTTGCAGAAATTTGCATGCAGGGCATTTTTCTTGTTGCCTCGCTGTGATAGATAATAGAAAATTTCGCACTGTGCTTTTAATACGGGGGTGCAGTCGATTTTATTGTAGATTCACGGGCTACCGCAATCGACAGTTTTCACTTCCCAGAGCAGCCGATTCTTTCTCAAACCGTCCGTCAGACATTGCACGTCCATGGTATGAACCAATTCCGCTCTTAATGATCTCAATCAGCTTGAGAAATTGGTCCGTTGGGTGGAAGAGCAGTTAGTCTCAGCCTGCAGATCGGTGAAAGGACTGAGCAAAGACTGTGAGGACATCAGGGGACGAGGAAGGCCATGGAGTTATTGAACAAACCGCTACAGCTCCGTGCGCTCTAGAATCGTTCTCTGGTTTTAAGACATACAACACTTTGTAATGTTGTGTGTAGTAACTTTCAGTAAAATCCAGATTCGTAATATTAGGCAGAAATATTTAAACACTAGTAAAACAAGTAATTAAAATAAAAACAAGTAAATAAAGTTGGGGTTAGAATACTTTTCTTTTTCAAACTGGCACTGACTGGTGCATTAAAACGTACCAGTATTAATGATGCAAGCTGCAATTTGTATGCCACCCCACTTATTTGAAGCTGTCGTTTACAGAGGAGAGTTTTGCCTTACCCCCCACCACACAGTTCCTGTTTAAATGCAGCAGAAAACCCCACTTTGGGGAGAAGTGACTCAGCTGATGTTCTGGTTGGTCCAGGACTTGTTTCTCAGTGCTCAGGAGAAGGGCCGGTACAGAGAAACGTCACGTTTCGGAAATGTGAACGTTCTGGGGGCAGCACAGCGGTGCAGTGCCGAGCATTGTTGCCTCACGTGCTGGGGTTCTGGGTTCAGGTCCTGGGGTGTCTGTGGGGAGTTTGTATGTTCTCCCTGTGTCCACGTGGGTTTTCTCCCAAGTGCTCCAGTTTCCCATAGTCCAAAAACATACTGGTGGGTTAATTGGCTTCTGGGGAAAACCAGCCCTTGGTGTGACTGTGTTTCTGTCTGTGTGAGAGTTCTGCAGTAGACTGGTGCTCCATCCAGGGTCTACTCTGCCTGGCGCTGGTCGATGCAGGAATAGGTCTGGCTCCCTTGAGACCCTGAATGGGATGAAACGGTTCGAAAACGGATGAATGTTATGATACGGAAACTCACAATTCTGTTTTTTTTTGTTGTGTTTTGCCTTACGCTCTCCAGGGGGGATCTATGCAGTGCCAAAAACGCGAAAAACGAAGAGGAGGCGGGAATATGATGAAGGTCAGTAAAAATAGGTTTTGGAGCAGTTCTTGGTAAAACAAGAATGTTCGTCAACAATCACAGGAACTACGTACTACAAGAAGGGCTTAACTCGACATCTAGAAACTCTGCTTTTTGTTTTTCAGTATTATTGTTCGCTAAAGATGTTTGCTTTTTTTTTCTTTTTTGATCGCCTCCGTTTTAAAAAGTCCCAGTTAAAGTCTAGAATTGAGAAAACAAAGACACACACACACACTCAGAGGCCAAGTCATCAAGGAAACAACTATTCTGTTTCGTTTTGGAGGCTACAACTCAAAGATGAGAGGGGCCTGAGCTTATCATGGTGGTATTGTCAAGGAAACCCCTTTATCTCAAATTACGGGGCCACCCATACGAACGTTTCACATCGTCAATGTGCACTGTGTGAGCAATGTAGATCAAAATTCTTTGCTTGGTCATACCATACATAGGCACTCCTGTTCAGCTTAGCTTGCAGTAGCTCATATAACCAAATTTCTCTGTGTCCTGCTTGATTACACAGTGCTTTCCTTTAACTGCACTCTGCATGCTTTTCACCCCAGTATACAACAGCAAACCTTTCCAGAAGAGCTGTCCATTCTTGGGCTCAGGTAGCCCATGTGTATACAGGTATTCCAGGTGACTTAAAAGCACTGGCTTCTGAAGGGCTGGGAGAAGCTGTCGAAACAGACCAAACCAATCAGTGACGAGCTCCTCGAGCTCGTTAAGAGCTCAGCTGGAATGAAAAACTTGCAGCAACACATGGCCCTCCAGGAACTGGATTGGTCAGCCCAGCTTGCAGCTTAACAGCTGCTGGGAAGGCAATGCAGAGGAAATTGAAGTATTATCATAATGTGTCAGCCTGGAACAGCGGGGTGATGCTGATTGTGACTCTGTACGTAATGTAGTATTTTCAGATTCTGAAATTAAGAGCCTCAGGGTTTTTTCATTCGACAACTCACTGCATGAAGCATGAACGTGTCAGACACAATATTGTTAATGTTAATGGTGGATGACACAGCTGCGGCACCAAAGCATGCTTAAGTCTGTTTAATCCTCCCATTTACTCACCCAGAAACAGAAAACAGATCAGATCTTCAATTTAGCTGAGCGCCGTGCCTCTAATAAAATATCCCCAGCATGGTAGCTCACTTATGATTGCTCGAGTAAGTGCCCTGAAAGAATCCCTACACCACAATTATTAGTCTTGCATTGGTTTTCCTGAGCATCAAAACCCAAGACTGATGACTCTGTTTTGCTCTGTCCCGTCTTTGTATTAAAGTCTCCAAGCCTATTGTGGACGAAACACAGCTCATTTATGCGGACATAATTTTCCAGCCTTCGCCCGGGAACGCAACTGGGAAGGTAAGGAAGTGACATCCGAGGTTTTAAAAAGTGGTCTGAGAATTTGTTCATGCTGCCCAGCGTATTAAAATCAACTTGAGCTTTTTCAAGTCCACAGGCACATGTTCGTTGAATTTAAACATCATTCTTAATGGCTCAGCTACACCGCTGGTCCCAGGACCCCTGACTCTGGTAGGCAAGGGGTCTACTTTAGAAATGCCAGCCATGGTAGTAAGAATCATAGGCACACATTCCAGAGCAAGGACCATAACCTGGCTCCTCATTTTGCAGCACCCCCTGCAGGGAGGGGTGTGCAATTGCATTCATACAGCTTCGTACAGCAAGCTACAGTAGATGAAAACACATAGCCTGAGTGCCTTAGAAATGCATCTAAAGAAGATGAAGTGACTGGAAGACGTAGCCAGCCGAAGGAGGCTTGAATTGGGCAAAGAACAAATGACAGGAAATGCCGAAACAAGAGCTGAGGCAGAGGCACATGATTAGCTGGGAGCTGAAGGAAGAGACATTTCCCAGAGCAGCTACTGCGACGGTTTTCGTGTTCAAGCAACAACAAGCTCTTGTTTTTGTGAAACCTATGGAAAAAAAACAACCTATAATGCCAGCCCATGGAATAAACCCCCCTCACACTGCTTATCTGAAACTCTTCTGATAAGATCACTTCGCCTTCTTGTTGTTGAAACGAAAGAAAAGTAGAATGTCAAACCATTACCTTCAGATTGTCTGACATCTCATTTACTTTATGTAATTTGGCTCGCTATCCCCTCAATGAAGAATTACTGTATAGAAAATTGACTGTGTGCTCAAAGCCAGCTTTATATCAAAGTCCACAAACTATTTCCACTAAACACTTACCACCTCAGTACCTTTGCTTTTCATTTTTCCTAAAAAAAATAGAAAGAAAACAAAGTAAGAAAACAAATCAGTCAGGTGTCACAGGACTCTTTTAGGGTTCGGATTTAAGTGCGTTAAATGTAGTTTTAGCCATGCTACATAAAAAATTAAAGCACCTCAAAAATGTATCCATGAATCTAAACATTTACTCTTATTTCAGCTCCTAAATTTTAAATTATTTTTTGTGTGAAAGTGAGAGTTCATGTACATGTGAGAAGAGATTCAAAGGTTTTGAAATCTAATAGTTACTCCCATGAATACTACAGGTCACAATACAAAGGAGGAATGTCTTGAATTTTTTAAATTCTGGTTCAGTGACCTCTGAGTTTTTCTTTTTAATCAATTTTTTTTTCCTGTCTTTCCACACTGAGGTAATTTCATACTGCAGACACACAAGAGCATTTCAGTGAACCTGTAGATGTTGTCTGTTGCGGTGCAGACTCTGATTCTGACCTAAGGGATGAAAATTAACTGCAAAACATTGAGAGTACGTCAAAACCAGCTGTTTTTTTCTTCTGAATGAGGGAAAAATTAACTTTTTTTTTCACCCCCAGTTTATCTTAATTTAGGTCAAAAGCAGAAAAGCTTTGAAAGTTGAGTCTGCCCTTCACAAATGAAAGAAACAATAAGTCACTGACCTACTTAGACCTCATCTACAGTACATGCACATACTATTGGTGCCCTGGATTGTACTTAATTTTGTTTTCTCTACCAAGCAACCTTGACAGTTTTTGTAACTGCACAAAAGGGCACGACGGCAAAACGCTGAGACAGAAGAAAGCTCCTTTTGACAACAGGCAGAGACGGTCAGCTCCGATCCCTTGACAAGAAGACGGCGCCGAGCAGAAAAGGGGTTTACATCGCTAATCTGTCACTTTTGCCTTTCCAGAAAAAGTTGGACCCAGATTGTACGGAAGCCGTATACAGTACAATTCAGAAAGGGAGAAAGAGACCTTCTAGGAATGAGCACGCGGTGCATGAACAGATAAACACTGTGTACACGCTTGCGGAGATGCCACAGCATGGAGAAACACACTGTGAGATGGATTTCTGACCTAAAAATACGCAGCTTCTTAACATATTGCCCCTGGAACTGAATTCGGTTGGGTGGGTTCACAGTGGACAGTTTCTCAGAAGTGACTGGGCTCTGGGATTTCCACATGGTTTCTTCATGACTGCTTTGTCCTTGGAACAGACAGTCCACCCTATGTCGAAGTAAACCCAAGACTTCTTAGCTTGCTTGAGAGCTCTTTGTCAGCCGAGATGTGATGGTGCAGAATGGCGTCATCTCGGTCACGTTTTCTGATTTGCGAGGCAGCATTTGTGGGCAACAGGTTTATTTGCAGACACGAAAACTAAAGTCCTGCATGTAGCCACGGGCTCCTTCTGGTTTGTCGAACACCGTGAAGGTGAAGGATTTGCTAGCAGCGCTGTGCCTAAGCTGTGGTGTTGTGTGACCCGCATGCTGCTTTCATATACAGCCCCCTAGCCCTCCTGTTGTACCATGAATGGCTATAGATGCGTTGGGTTTTTTTTTTCAAATCAGTGAGCAGGCGTATAGCACAGGAAACTGTGGCTTCATAATTGATTGAGCCTCGTCTAGGTTGCTCTCATATACTGCAGAAAAAGACCAAGGAAAGAGTACAGCCAAGTCTGACTAATTCAGTCTCTCTGTGAACTGTGCTTGCAGGAGTGCTGTCAGCTTGGAGGGATTTTAGAGCTATGGGGGCAGATTGTAATGAGTGCTTCACTGCTTTCTTTATTTGGATTTCTATTACAGTCACAAAGACAAATTCCCTTGGTTTTCAGAAGGACACTGACGAGGCTGCTATTTTGGGACTGTCTTTTTAACTCTTCCACGGCTGTCTTCACTGCATACTTCCAGTTTCCATTGCCAAGAACTGCCCTTGCTTCCAAATCAAAGCGTCTGACAGGCGCAAAGGTGGCTCACTGTGTGCTTTCTCTCTCTTTTCCTTCTGTTTCACAGGAAGCTTCTGAAAATGCATAGTGTTCACCTCCGTCACTAATGAAGGTGCTCTTAACACCTTCGGATTGGAATACCTCTGAACAGAATGACTCTGTGATTCAGTTTCTCACTCAGGAAACTGTGTATGTTTAATAATGAGTGTGTAGGGCATGCCATGTCTGTGCAACACACACAATGTGTTTTCCTGTCATTCCGATTTTGCTATTCAGCGAGTCATTTTTACTACACTGACTCACACAACTCCAGAAATGAGGGAAAGAAAAATCTACACTTTGAAATTTCAATGGAACATGTCTGCTTTCCAGTGATTTTGCTGAAAGACATTTTTATAACATAATTGCTTCAACCGTTGGCATACTTGGCCAATATTAAGTAATGAGTGTAAACGAAAGTGGGTCACCTAAACAGAAAAACAAACAAATGGAAAGTATTTTTTCATATATAAGGTATCATAGAACTGACTTAAAGAATGTGTCAGGGTTTCTGAAAGGGGTGAGTAGTTGGACAACTGTGTGAAGCCGTGAGGAAGGGAGTTTGAGCCAAAGTAAATCCAAGATTCCAGATCCAAGTCGTTAGGCAAGAGCGAAGTCAAAAGTAGGAGAACCAGGTCGGGGTGTCAAAGGAGTCCGGTCGAGAATAGTAGTGCGCACAAGGGAAAGCTGTGGAAGACTTCTCAATAGTGAGCGTAGGAAAGCCGGAGAAGAGTGTTTAAGTATTGAAGAGAGAGACGTGGTTGGATAATTAGTTCCCGGATGAGCGTGTGTGGAATTTAGTACGCGTGGGAATGCCAGGGCGCTTACAGGAGAAGGTACGAGTCGTGACAGAATGCCTCCATCATAACCTCTTTGGAAAGTTGAAAACAAATGTTCAATAGCAAGTGTGTTTCTCATGCTTGATTTGATTATATGAATGTTACTGCTTGTCAGTTAATGAACTGGGGCCAAGAAATTAGCTGAAGCCAGAAAAGGAACAGTAAGTGAAGTTACTAAAGGAAAACCAGGTCTCCTAGTCTGTCACACATATCTCAGCCACTCACAGCTATTGTCTGTAAATCAGAAAAGACACACTGTCTTAATCCTATACACTGCTTCGTCACAAACACTGAGAAACTGTAGTGACCTCTTACTGCCTTGCAAGAGCATGTAGACCTTCCTTACCCTGAAACTCAGATTACCTCCATTCGATTAGACGAACTGACGGCAGAATTGGGAGGGATAGAGGAGTTTATTCGCCATATGGACCGTACATGTTACAATGGGATTCTTATTCATGCTGTTGTCTCAGGACATGCGCAGTACAGCAGACGACACAACACAATGTAGTACAGTACATTTCAAAACAGTAAATAGTACATAATGACAATATGGAACAGACAAACAATACACAATAAACAAAAAGAGACAATAAATACAAACAGAACAATAAATACAGGGTAGAAAGTCAAAGTGCAGAGTGCCAGGGGTGTGTTGAGTCCTGAGGCATTGCACAGTTAACTGTTTATGATGCTGTAGGGTAGAAGCTGTTCTTAAGCCTAGTGGTCTGTGCTTTAATAGTGCAGTCCGCTTGGAAGAGTGCAGAGGGGAGAACAGTTTGTAGCTGGGATAGTTGGGATCTTGAATGATGGATTGGGCTTTATTGTGACTTTTTTTAGATAGAAGCTCTAAATCTCAGCTCCATGAGTGTTTGTTGATTGTAGATGACGGCCGCACACATATGTTTTACACAAGAAAACTGTTCGTGACAGACATTTGTGCCTGGACCATAAGGGGGTCAGCAGCTGTGGCTGTCTACACGTTTAAGAAACTCAAACCTCTGAGATATCTTTGTGTGCTATTTTCTGTAAATAGCTATTAGTAGCCGCTAGAGTGGTCTTCAATGAATGTAACTGACGTCTGTTTGCTGAAGTATTAAAGGATTGAATTAATTTAGGCTTGGCACATATCTTCTTCATCTTCTAAGCAACATTTGTGCCTTTTTCTGCTGATTCTGTTTCTCCTTACATATTGTTCAAAATATCTCTCTCTTACTTTTTCTTTTCTCATAAAAAGATGTACAATATAAGATGACTCAGTTTGTAGCCACCGCCCTAATCCAAGCCCGAAACCTGAAGTCTCCCCCATCACACCCACGGGCACACATGGTCATAGATACCTCTGCTTCTGAAATGCCCAGCTTTCCAGCTGGCTCAGTCACATAACTTGGTGATGGTTAATGCTGTTTAAGTAGGCAATTATACGCAGTGAATAAATGGGTTAAAACTCATCAGCTGAGCAACAGTGTGAAGTTGTGGGTGGGAATTCGGACTCTCGTCTGGGAAAGCGTACTTTCCAATTCCTGGTTGGAAACATGAGCACAGCTCCAGAGAAGCGGCTACTCTCTCATCTAATTAGTGGCTTGCTGATGCAAGGATCTCATCTTGCAGGAAGAAGGGGTTTCCAGGAAGAACCCAGTGTATCTGCTTCAACCGCATGGCAGGCTAGCTCGCTCCACGCCCCCACAACCCTTTCGGTAAAGAAGTGCCCCCCCTGATTTTGGTTTAAAATGCACGTGTGTCCTTTGGCTCGTGTTTCACTCTTCATCGTGAAGCTAGCGCCTGGGTTGGCTTGATCAGGGCCCTTGAGGAGTTTGAACACTTGTGTCAGGTCCCCTCTCAATCTTCTCTCATCCAGACTGATAGAAGTTTGGGTCCTTTGGCCCAGCAGTGTAGTAAATTCCCTTTAGCCCTGGAATGTATCTGGTTATTCTTCTCTGGACTGATTTCAGAATGGCAGTGTATTTTCTATGACATGGTCATCCAGAATACATAATATTCTAAATGAAGCCTTACTACTGGCACTGTATAATTTTAACATGCCTTTAGTTAAGTTCTACACTTTTAACACTAGACCCTAACATGTCATTTTCTCGTGTGTTTCCCCACATTGTCTAGAAGATGCGAATGATGTGTCCAAATAAACATATACTGTAAGTCTTTTTTGTGAGTTGCCTCTTCTCTGTCCGTGTAGCACCTGCCTGGTTTTTGTCCAGTGTTCTGGATAAAATTGAACTTTTTTAATATCATTTTTTCTGTGTTTGCCAGCTCTCCTCATTCTTAGTGATCTGCATATCTGCCGAGTTGACTAACTCTACCAGAAGGGTGACCTTCTGCTGATGTTTAAGTCATTTTGTTTCAGGCTCATAATCAATCATGATCTGTATTCTGCAGTAAAAAAAAAAAATAAGCCTGTTTCCATTATGCATCTGTGGAAGAGCACAAGAGGTTAATGATGGCAAAATCTGAAAAAGAGTTAATTCGATTTGAGAGGTGTGATGGATGTGTTTCTGCAAAACATCTTACTGGCTGGTTATGTGTCATTTAACTGCAGATTTAGTGATTACGGTTCGAAATGCCGATCAGATCAATGCGAATCAAAACGTGCTAAATGATAGTTTAGATTTCCACCGACAGTACAGTTGCCAGTCCGGGCGAAACACAACGTAGGCATCAGCAGGCTTTTCAGTGGTATTTACCGAAACTTTTAGTTTCTTATCTAGATGTAAATGTCTAGAGTTGACAGCATACATACAGAACCATCGGTTCGTGCACGTGCGCAAGAAGAAAAAAAAATGTCAAAAGACGCCCTATATTGTAATTACCCTCTAAAAATCGATGGTATCGTTCAGCGAATGCTTTCAATAGGGTGGGAGAATCGTATTTATTTAATTTGGAAAGTGCACAAATGAATGTGTCTTCGCGAACTGTATTCAAATTCAAAGGTGGGGAAATTCAGTGTGACTTTATCGATTAAATCGAGCAGTTTTTTTTTCCTTTCAAAATCATGACACCAGTAGGCCCCTCTCCACGTGTCTTTGGGAAGTGGGAAAACTAACGCGAACGCGGGGTGAACATACAGACTCCACAGAGAAGGCGTGGCACTCCGGAATTCAAGAACTGTGAGGCAGTTTAGTCACAATATGGAAGACCGCCACAGGGGAACTAGCGACGCATCATGACACATTTTTAACAAGTGCATTTTTTCTCTCTTACAAAGTTTTGAAACTGTCCAGCTGGTGGGTAACTTTCAGAGAAGATAAGGGAAACCATATCCTTAGAGATTACATTCTTCCGTTCGCGACTGGCTCTGTTGTTTCATTAGGGACCATATCCACAGGGACATAATGGGTCAAATGCAACGAGGTTTCGGATTAAGCTCGTAGCTGCATACTAAGCTGCGGACTGGTTAATACCACACTATCTGGAGATCATCTCCAGTTTTAAGCCTAATTGAAACCAAGAGACGTGCGGTACAAAGTTAGACACCAGCTGGACCTGTGCTTAGTACAGTGCTGCGGACTAATTTCAGCGGACACGTTTATTGCAATCGGTATTAAGGAAGCGCACTTGTTTAGCATGGTGCTGCATGTTAACCAAGGGTTAAACTCCAGTTAGTGCGCAGCTTTCAGTACGTTGCAATTGACCCGTAACCAGTACCATCTTTGTTTTGGTAGGTTTTTATGGTTATGGTTATTTTTTTCAATATGATTTAAAAAAAAAATAAACCGAAATTTCCTATATATTGCAAATGGATAAATGATTTTTTAAATGTTTTTTTTGTGTCGGAAACCCACAGGCTACGTACAGCAAAGAAAACAAAAACCCAGAACGTTTGCATACGTGTTTTTCTACCTGTTGCACACGATAAACACTTTTTATCTGATCGGCAGAAATGTCGGTGTCTCCAGTAAGTTTTCTCTGTAGTTCAGAACAGAAAGATAACATCGAAATATATATATATACCGATTTAACCGTTGGGAATAGCCTCAGACAGGCGTAGCCAATGCGCAGTTTAGTCAAACTGTAAATTATCGCGCACAGCCCATTGGCCTTCACATTTTAATACTGATGTTATAACAGACGAGTTTAAATATATAATGTAATTAGTAATTTATCAAGCACAGAGCATACGCAGGCTAAGACTAGTTACCTATAAGTCATCAAGAAATATAAACCTATTTAATCACGCACACAAAGGTAAAGGAGACGTTTTTTTTCCCTCATCAAATGGATAATCATCAATCCCGCGTGACACAAAACAGTCCAGCCCTTTGCAAAAAAACTGATGAGGAATGAGAAACCATCGCCCAAGTTAGGCTGACGCGCTGGACACGAATGGGATGCGCATCACTGCAAGGACGGGTGTCCCCTGACTGATTTAAAAACGGCGGGCATCCACACTCGAAACTGCATGAACAGTCAATAACGCGGCTAGAAATGCGCTCTGAAAAGTCGCTATGCTTTTTTCCCCGACTCCTGCTTAGTGGCCAAGCACCAAAATCGGTTCATCATGCATAAAGGGCGACACCTCATGGCTGAAAAAGGGAAACACGTAGTGGAATTGAGTGACAAAAATACGTTTCTGAACCGTTTCGCCATTAGTTTTCAATTTTCAATCCAGGGTGAGCAACCAGGGTTTCGTGTGATTCTGTCCGTGATAAAATATCGTTCCGGCGGAGAAAACGTATTAAAAGTATAGGATTTTTTAAAGCGGGTTAAGGTAGCTGTAAGCTTAAGGTAGCTTGTCCCCAGAGACAAGAAGTTGCCTGCTTCCAGGTCTACAATAAATCCATTCTCTTCCAGTGGCAGCCACAAGGGGGCATCCTTGCCAGCTGCTCAAGCCACCTCACCTGGCTCCTCTGTCTTGTCACAGCAGCTCTACAGAGAATCCTCATTCCCGCCACGATCGCAGTGTTTCAGACACTGCTCACAGCTCGTGACCACAGGTGAGGACAGGGATGTGGATCGACTGCTCAACCGAGAGCTTCATCTCGAAACTCAGTTCCTGCTTCACCATCATGGTGTTATGATCACCCTGACTCATGAACAAGACCCCGAGGAACTTGAACCCCTCCACTTGGGGCAGCTGCCCCCCCACCACCACCACCACCACCTGGAGGGAGCAAGCCAGTCTTTTCCAGGCAGGGGGTGTCAGAGATTGCGTGACCCGACTTTTGCTTTTGTAGACAAGTGTTGTAGTGATACAACAGTCAGCAGTGTCTTCCCAGCGCCCAGGGCACATCATAAAAACACAGCTCCGGAGGGGACACCTTCCAGGCCAGCCACAACCACCCTGTTCACCTCCAGTTACCAAAAAGAGCAGCAGTGGTGTCCTCTGTGTAGTTCCTCTGGTGGTTCTTTGCTATATTCTCTGGCCCTGGCTGTCCTGAACATCGTGGTTCCCTCATGCTGCCTCCCCCCAACCCCACCACCTTGATTGCTCCAACGTCAGGTGGGATGGAGGAGGAAGGTGATGCCAGAGCCTTCTTCAACTGCTCCCCGTGGGAGTCCCTGGTGTTCAAGTCCTTTCCTTGGCCCACTGCTGTCATCGGACTTTCCAAATGAGTGCCGGGGGTTAATCCTTCCGGGGGTAAGAGGCCAGCCGGAGCGTGATGCTGACCACATCACCTCCACTTCCAGTGTCGGATGGTCAAGGAAAATGGTGGTCTTTGCCCCCCATTCCCCATGGGCCTTTATGGCCTGAAAAGAGACCGACCTACCTACCTGCTGCTGTCATCTGTACTGCAAACCCCCCTTCTTGCAAAAGTCCAGTTTTCTCCCTCGACGGGGGGCTTTTTCAACCCTTAACAAGGGCCATTGACTCATGGCCCCCAGGGGGTGGAAGTGACCCTGTGATGTTTTAGGTGTGGGCAGGGATAACTGCCCAGGGCTTGTTCGGGACATGGCTGTACACAGATGCCCACGTGTATTGAAGCGTTTTTCAGCTGTATCCTGTCTTGAACTTGAACTTGAACTTGCCATACGTAACCGGTACATGTACTGGTTCAACGGAATTCTTACTTACAGAAAGTCTCTCGATTGTTAAAAAAAAGTGGTCGCAGGTTTATCCAATCAGCGCTCTTTATATTAAATGTTACATTACATAGACAATTACGTTAGTTCAGTAACAGAGTCGGAGAAGTCACTGTGGGTGGAATATGTATCTGTAACTTGTGTTTGAAAGCAATTGTGTTGGTTACGGTGGAAATTATAGTTTAATAATGCAATGCATTGAAAAAATTGCTTGGATTCACAGATCTCAAATTCTGACATGTCCGATAGACATTATACTAATTTAAACGAGTTTAAATCTACTCAGGGCACGGGGTGGGGGAAACTACTCTAATTTTTAATCATAACGTTCTAGCTACTGGGACTTGATTACGGAGCTAAGTCCACTGTTCGTGCAGTGTGTTGTGAAAATAAATATTTTAAGAAGCCACGTATAAACCCATTATGCTCTTTGTGATGATAAGTGCATGTGGAATGCAAGTTATTGGCAGATATGTTAAAGTAGCCTACTGACATTTAGATCAAATATCAATTTGTGGGATTGTATGTTGGAAGATCTCTTGATTCTAGGCATCCTTTGAATAACATCAATAAATCAGTTGGGTGATCGTCGTGGAATTCATCAGCAATGATTGCACGAAGTAAATTATGCAGATTGAAAGCACTAATTATGGATGTTTGAATTACACTTATGGTTCACAGCCCACGGCTTGTAATTTACCATTAAAAAGACCATCTCAGAGGTACTGCATCCAAACTATTATCAGCGAGGCAGTAGTTTCTGATAAAATTATATTGCATAGAACACATCGACTAATGTCTCTTTCTTGTGGAATATGGGACGCAGAACTTATAAGGTACTTTTTATATATTTACTAAAAATAAAAAGTAGCGAGAGAAATTGTTTAATAGTGTGTGTAGTATCGATAATCTCGTTGTACCGTGTATTATTTTGTTCAAATACATTTTAAAATACCCCCCTCTAGTGGGCTAGTGGGAAAAAAGAGGATTTTCACACAAGGCATATTTTTTCTAAATACTCTTTTCTGTGTACTTTATTAGTGCTTATTCTATATATTGAAAGAAAGCTTGAAAATGGATAAAATCGGTTTCTGTCCGATTAAAGTGACATCTGTTGCATACAATCTAGTGTCTGTGTAAACAATTAACTAGAAAATATACTATCCTTTAGTACTTGTGCTCTTCGAAACTCTTCCTCCGCGAAACACACATGTATATTTTTGTTCCGAGGAGAAACATGAAACAATTGTACAGTAACAGCAATTTTTACTTGGCTTCAGTCTCAGATTAAAGTACATTTAGCGGTGGGAGACGAATCTTGAATTTCACAATTCCAGGTATATACACACACAGAAGGAAAAAGTTTTAGTCACACGTTTTGCACCCGATAGCTGAGCCAAATATCACTTGAGAATAAATTCATTCCGCTGTTTACAGCATGGAGGCCGGGGAAGAGCTTCAGGAGTCGCCGATGATTCATGGCAAAGAACAGCCGAGGCCCCGGGCTGACAGAGGCGGGGTAAGTCTGAAAACTAAACAGCGGTGCTGCAACAATTTGAGTGGTGCTTTTGCCGGTGTTACACGGAGACCAGAAACACGAAGCCACGAACTTTCCTAAACGCGCCTCCCGTAGAAGAGAGCGCAGACTCGGTGTACAGAACAGAGTCTCTCCCCTCTCGGAACGAGGGCTACTGCTGAGATGATTTATTAAACAGAGAAAACAATATTCTATCACAAAACTTGCTAACTTTAATTTTGTTTTATAATAAATTTACTACGGTCTGAGGACTTTTTCCCCCCCCTTTCTTGACTTTGGATCTGTTTAATGGTAGAGCAAAACACCCCCAATAGCACTAGCAGCGGTAGTTAAAAACACGAATAATCAGAAAAAAAAATAGATTTATTGCTTCTGTGAAGTGCAGTCGTAATCCGATTTTAGAATTTAGCATGTGATTTATTGCAATCTATAATATTGCGGTAGTCTGTTGTAAGGGGTAGGTAGTTCACACTGGAGTCATGTCTTGAGAGCGCTGTGAAGATGGCATTTAATGCTGTGAAATTTCCCCTTTGCAGCAGCATATCTGTACTGTGTTTGGTAAGAGAGTATGTTACAGGCTCACAGTTTTCTGGCTTTATAGCCCTCGGCCAGCAGCCAGACACCAGGTACCCCTCTCTCTCCAATGGACCCTCTGAACACCCTCTCCAACTTCGAGGCTGAGATGGAGCCTGATGACCAGGGCAGCTACTCTCTGTTCCCAGCCCTGGATAACATGACCAGCCTGCCTGGGACCTCAGAAACCCTGGAGAGGTAAGGAGACCGGCCAGCAGTCCTCTTTCGATGAGTTTTATGGTTGGTTTAATGGCTTGTTGTGAAGGTGCTGTCCCCCCAGTTAAAGGTGAGGGGTGCAGTCTCAAGAAAGGGAAAAAAAAAACAACTTTTCCCCTGCATCCAGCTGATGACGGGACACCCCAAAAAGGACATAATAGACGTTCAAAAATTGTTGTAGGAAAGAACTGATTTAAAAAAAAACCTAATGGAAAAGTTTGGAAGTTAGGGGTTTGAATTCCTTAAAATAAATAAGGAGTAAAAAAAATAATGCTAGTAAGGCTTATTTTCTCTCCCTTGGTGAAACTGTTTGGAGCAGGGATCTAAAACTCAGTTCCTGGGTGGCCCAGTGTCTTCTGGTTTTTGTTTGGCCATGTTCTCAACTACATAGTTGGTCTAATTACTTTAATTAACAGAATCTAATTATTAGCATAAGCTTAATACTTCTAACCTGAGGTTATTGAGAGGTAACTGTACCTCTAATTAAGTGTATGTCCTGTGTAATCAACTGTAAAAGCTCTCAAGACAAATCCTATGTAACTATAATTTAGAAAGTAATTCGTTTATTTGTTTTAAGATGTTACTCAGGTAAGAACAACAAGCAGAAGAGAGCAGGCACTCCAGGAGTTTGAGACTCCTGGTGTTAGAGGAAGTGAAGCAACTTTTTGGTTTTAGAAATAATGTAGAAAATAAGTTGAGGAAAAAAAACCCCAAAGCCATCTTTACTTGACAATTTTTGATCAGTTATTGTTTTGCATTTTTTTTGTCTAGAGATTTTCAGGATGGCTGTATGTCTGTATGAGAAGGGAAAGAAATGATGACTCGTTTTAAAAAGCTGTTCATTTTCTCCATTTCATTTATAGTGATCCTCCTAGTGATGTTGCAGACAAGCCTAATCTTACCTGGCTGGATGCTGCCCAGGTGTGGTGTTTTGGTTGTTTTTCTTTTGAAAATGATGCCCTGGGCTGAAAAGGCCCCAGATTATGGCCCAATTGAATTCCTTTTCACGGTCGTTTCAGATTGTACTTGAGGAAGCCGGCCGGCCAATGCACATCAAGGAGATCAAGCAGAGGATCATCGACAGGGGCTTGGTGCAATCAAAGTAGGTGCTTTTTTCAAGGAGTTATAAGTATCTTTTCTTCAAGATGTGTCCTGTTTAAGTCTGCATCGTTTTAGAGGAATTCGCAGTGGCATTGCCACAGGAAAGGTCCATTGGAAATAAATTAGTATGATCAGGACGACACCCTGTCTGTGATGTGTGGATGTAAAGATCCAATAGAAATCTTTTAAAATAGCATTTTGCCGTTTCTGTGTAGCTTTTAAGCTGTTATACTGTAGGTTTCGTCAAACATTCCGTTCCACTCCAACATTATCACAAAGCCACATAAACAGGTGAGGGTTAAAATATTTTTTTCTTCTATGCAAAATAACTTCTCTTTTCCCTGCAGTGCAAAGTCAAGTCTGGAAGCTGTGATGTATCGTGAGGTAAGGCAGGGGACATATTCACCTTCACTGTTCATGTACCTGTAATTAATTAACCTATATTATGCTTGTTTTGGCTGCACTTTTCACACAACTAGTATATCTTTGAGGACAGTTCACTCATATTGTGCAGATGAGCCCTTAAAAGGTTAACAACTCAAATCTAATGTTAATTATTGCTGATTACCAGTCAGGCAGTATTTAAATGATACAAAATGATAGTCAGACCTCACCAGAATAACACCCTATGCAGGAATTGATCTTATTTCTTTATTAGACCAGTATGCAGTGCACATTAATGATAAGAATTCATAAAGCCAGTAGTTTCTGGCATGATCTGATTTGTGCTGACTTTTCGAATCCTTGTTTTTTATGTGTCACAACATTGTCTCTGTTCATTGTTAATTTGATTCTCTTTTTTTAAGCTTTTTGTTCTTTGGGATGTACTGTAGCTTCTTTAGATAGTTCAGCACTGCAGAGTGGTTGTAATTCTAAAAAAACCCTGCCTGCGAGGGAAGAGACTCTGATCGTGTTGATTATCTCACACCCATAGCTTAACGGGTCTTGAGAACTGAGCTGTAGCCACAGACAGGAGGAGAGTGGAGCTGTGGTCCAGTGTAGGTTCAGGGCCCGTGGCAGTTCTGGAGGGCAGAGCAGGGGGGGTTCTGAGAGCCTGGAGTCCAGTCAGTGTCCTGCTATGTTACAGACACAGAAAGGGAGCAGGCGCTTCAAGAGGATTGAGAACAGGAATGGAGTCTTTGCGCTGTTGGTAAGTTCCGACTGACAGGGATGTTTCAGAAGAATGATTGATTTCAATGAATGGCAGCAGCATGGACATAAACTCCTTGATCTCTTGCTGACGGGGTGAAATGAATTTATTTAGCTTTTTAAAGTCTCCTTTTACAGTTGCTTGTGGAAGTGCATTTGGGATGCCAATTTTCAGGTTAATTACTTGGGCAGCGGTATGATAATAATAAAATTAGAAGCTTTGTTTTTTTCAGGTGAACCCCAAAGCATTACAATCCTCAAGTTCTAAAACCTCCTTTTTTTGTGCCTTTGCCTTAACGCTTGGTGTCCCCTGCTTAATCACTTGGTGAAAGCTGCGTCTGCCTTCGTGCTATGCAAGTTATTTTCGGATGGAAAATCGCCTTTTGTTGCTGTAGTACCAGATCGGCTGCAGTGCTGTCTTCTTTAGTCTAGCTGAATTGTACATTGGGCAAAGTTCATTGGTAGTAGATTGTTTTACAGTACATCAGCATTTACTTTTAATTATGAAAGTAGATTCTACAGTTTATCTTTTCTTTTTATTTGATTTATGACCATGTGTTAAATTCCCATGATCTCATTTCAGTTTTTGTGTTTGCGTGTGTAAATCTCATTCATATGTTGTGATTTTCGTCCTTTCTTATCACGGCGATCTTTAACGGCTTATTAACTGCGTATCCCTTTAACCAGAGCCTGCTAAATCGTTGTGTCCCCAGTGCCTGTTCTTGTGCTGTTTATAGAAGTAGTAATTAAGGCAGGCTGGAGTGTTAACCCAGTAGCGTTTTCTCCTCACTGGGCCATTTCTTACTGTTCCTAGACTGGACTCACGATCTGATAGTCCTTGAATTATACCTCGTTATAAGTACCTTAAACTTGATCTCTGCGCATATTGTCTTGCTGTCATTAACAGAGTGGGGCGCATCAGGTAAGCTGTCCAATCTCCGTGTCTCCCACTCCACCTCTCAGCTTACGCTGCCCTGCCTTTAGCTTCCTAACCTTTGCTGCTGTCTGCCAGGGAAACTGCACTGGGATGGTGTATTTTTAGTCTTCTCCATGAGTGTATTCACCCGAGGAACTAAATATGTGTAGCCATTGAATTTTTGCTGCACACTGACGTCAGAAAGCTGATACTCTGCTTCCTGTAGGTCCGTCCTGTGGGTTACGCAAGGCTGCCACACGGGGGTTTTGACAGTGTGCTGGCGAAACTGGTTTTGATGCGGCCCCCCGAGCTTGTGTTTGGACACTATTGTCGTCCTGCTCTCACTGACGAATGGAAGCTGGACTTTACCTAATGGCTCACATGTAGGCAGTCTTCCATTGTCGCGCCCTCCTGTATTCATCCCCTTTTCCTCCGGGCCCGTTTTCCCCTCAGACGGACGACGAGAGGCAGCAGGCCTTACGGGCCTTCACGGCCCAGTCTTTCCTGACGGCTCCTGGCCAGCCCGCCTTCTCCGGCTCAGGATCTGGGGGCCCCCTACCTGCCTTCCCCTCCCCGGCCAGCCTCTCCGAAGCCAAACCCAAGGTGAAGAAGCTGCTCAGGAAGAACCAGAATGAGAAGTACCGGCTGAAGTACCTGCGCCTGCGCAAGGCTGCCCGCGCCATGATCTTTGTAAGTCCTTCAAGTAGGCGGCTGCGTCGGCATGCGTAGGCCGCAAACGACCAGGTAACGGTTTATTCCAGGCTGAAAAGAGAAGACCAGAAACGCAACGCTTTGGCCGAAGAAGGCTCCGCAGCCGAAACGTTTTGTTTTTGTTCTCTTTTCAGCAGGGAAACAACCTTTACATGTTCATTTGTAAGTCTTGACCACCAGCGAGACTAGCACACGGGTGTAATTCATGAAAGTGTTTCAAGTAGGGAGCTGCGTCAGCGTGTGTAGGCTGCAAAGGAACAGGTAAAGGTTGATTCCAGGCTGAAAAGAGAAGAAAAGAAACACGTTTTTGGCTGTGGAGCCTTCTAGGGCTGTGTGAGAGAGAGAGAGAGAGAGAAGGAAAATCGGCAGTTGGTAAAGTGTGGGAGAACAAAAACTGGAGCGGAGAGGAGGTGGGAGCAGGAGAGAGGGGAAGAGAGGTGGGAAGTCAAAACCTATAAATGAAAAGAGAGGATTAGAAGGAAACGAGTCTGTTGTTGAGAGAAGGGGGAAGATGTGATCCTCGTTTCAGGATAATTTTGGTTTCGGTTGTTTTTCTGCAATAGGAGTTCTGAAACCCCTCTTGAGAACGCAGATGGCCGTTAGAGGTGAAATGAGAAACTATGGGCTTGGAGAGATCTTTGATTCTCACAGCCCTGACATGTTCCCTGAAGTGGTCTCCCATGAAATTCATGAAAGTGCTTTCTTGAAGAAATCAACTTTTTTTGTATTGTATAGTTTCACTCACGGTTTTGGGAGAGCCTGTCCTTAAAAGTTTGTGTTATTTCGTTTTTTGACTTGTATGTCTGGTTTCAATCAAATGATAAAAGGGTAGAACTGGAGGCCGTGATCACCCATAGCAACTGGAGTTTCAAGAGGTTCCAGCTGCCCTGTGGACCCTTGACCCCTCTGACTTCTGACCTTTGACCCCCTAGGAGAATGCTGCGCTCTGTGATGAAGTTGCCCATTTGGAAGAGAAGTTCGTGCGTGCAAAAGAAGAACGAAGGTGGGCTCATCTGTTTTGTCTTGCATCCTCTACATTTTTTTTTAAATCTCCTTTTGATAGGACTCTCACAGTCAGGCCTTCACTGCAGTGTTCCTGTGTTTTTCAGTAAGCTTGTTGCAGCACTTGAACATCCAACAAATCATGCTGTTTAGGTTTATTGTAGACCTAACACCTGAAGATAATACCCTCATTTTGCTACAGTTTGTGTACAAAATAAGTCATGCATAAAAAAATTGTTACCATGTGTGGACACCAGTAGTTAAAATCTTTCAGTCACGGATTTACAGTGGATATTAATAAGTCTACACACCTTTATTGAAATTTTAGCTTTTTTTGTAAAGGGAGAAAACGTGTCAGACATATTTTTACGTTTAATAAGACCTTGTAAGCAACAATATTTAATAATAATACAATTATAATATTTTTAGGAAAAATAATTTAAAATAAAAAACGTTCAATGCCTTTCTGTGCAATATCCCAGTAATGCTGGCTGCATCACTTGGGTCACTGACTCAGGCTACACTGATTACAGACTACACTGCCTTGGCATTTGACAGTGGCTGGTGCTAATTTTGAGTTAAGGAAGTTGGCACAGTCCTGTAAGCACCATGTAGTGCAGCTGGAGTAGCTGTGCCCTCACTGTCCCCCTCCCGGGCTGCGCGCAGGTTCCTGCTGAAGTCTCTGCTGCAGTACCAGTCTCTGTCAGAGGGGGAGCTGCACTCCGCCCCGAGCGCCAGCTCCCACGCCCCGGCGTCCTTCAGCTCCGCGGCGGGGGGCGCTGCCGTTCTCGGGGCCTCCCCGGGTCTGGCCCCCGCCGCCTCGGGGGGCGACGAAGGCACCAGCAAGAAGTCCAAGAAAGACCGGAAGGAGCGCGCGAGAGAGAACGGGCGGGAAGACGGTAGGGTGGCCCTGAGGCGGGAAGTAGCGCTGGCGGCCTCCTGGAAGCAGCTCGGAGGTGGCCGGCTCCTTGTTTGCTGGATTATTGTCACAGGCTGCGCTGCGTGAGAGTCTGTTCTTTGGAACCAGATAAATTGGAGCAATTTGCTTAATTGGCAGCCGAGCAAATGCATTCAGGAGGAGTAATAGTATGACAGGGGAACTGCAGTTGCTGTTTCTCAGACCAGGTGTGAAATCTCAGTCACAAGAGAAATTCATTGAGAGTATAGCAAAATTGGACAAATTTACAAGTAAGTGTGCGTCTGCAAAACCACCTGGAAGTTGAAATGTGTAATTCAATTCAGTCGCACTCATTCAAATCAGCAGTCTCGAGATAAAGTCTCTAAAAACGTCGCCTTCTAAGTGTCAGTTTCAAAAAATGTGTAAATTTATGCAGTAGCAAAATTCCCTTGCTCTAAAGCGTATGCGTTATTGTAAGAGAAATAGATCGGTTTTCAAATATTGTCAGTTTGGGGTATGACGTGTATCGTATTATTTTTTCTCTTCTCTCGAGCTCACATGATTACGAAGCCTGACAGTTCGTAATATGAAACGTATTTTCGTTTCCGATACTGAACCAAAACGTTCAAACCGTCCTACCTAGTCCTACCATTTTTGCCCGTAAAAAGCAACTGATGAATAGAGAGAACAGTGAGATGGGGGGATGGCAAATAGATAGAAAATCTATTTTTCTATCTTTGTGATTAAAGTGATCCTATTATAATTATGCTCAAGGCTTAAGATGTGCATTAAATATGGTTTTACAGTTAATAGCAATATTCACAAGCCTGCTTGTTTACAATGTAATTCGCAACTCCGGATGTTTTGTTGCCTCATTCTGGATCGTAGCCGATGACGGCAATATGGAGCTGTGTATATCTGGGAATTTCATCTGTTTTGTGATGTAAATTGGAAGTTTTGCACATTGTACTTTCACTGCGGTTTGAAATGCTCTCATCAGTGCAGGTTCTTCATGCACCTGAAGTGTGTCAATAGCGTGGCAGTTCCCCTTGACCTCTCATTCAGATTTTGTATTATTTTGTTCTGTGTCTGCGGCTCACCCAAAGCTTAGCTGCTTGTCGAAAAGTGCATCGGGTGAAGCGCGCAGAAGAAAATCTGTCCCCCCTCCTCCTCCTCCTCCTCCTCCTCCTCCTCCTCTGTCTGTCTCCGCTCAGCGCTCAGGAAGGTCTCCAAGAAGAAGAAGCTGGCCGAGGGCGGCTCTCGGAAGCTGGTCCAGCCAATCCCTCTGGATTCCTCGGGCCGGCCGGTGTTCCCGATTGTCCTGGGAGGGCTGACCGTGTACAGCCTGGGAGAGGTCAGTGTCTGGCGTCACTGGCTGGGTGGGATGGGGAGCAGGAAGTGGGGTTCTAACAACAGGTCGTGCTGTTTTCTTAAATTGGTTCCAGCTGGAGTGCTTCATCTCTTTATGCAGTGTTTTTAATTTCCAAGGGCTTTTCCGCAGACTCAGTTTATCACTTTCCCTTTGACATTTGTCAAGGTTTTAATAGTTAAAAGACGCTATTGATTGGAATTCGATGCAATGAACTGGCTTCACATCCGGGGTGAATCCAGCCTTGTGCCTGTGGCTTGCTGGGATAGGCCCACATACAGACTGTTACACAAACATGCACACACTCACATCAGGGACAATTATAAGTTTATTATCCAACCAGAATGTCTTTGGCCTGTGGGAGGAAACTGGAGCACCTTGAGGAAACCCATGCAAACATGCAAACTCCACCCAGATAGCTCCCCAGGTCTAGGACTGAGCCTAGGGCTGCAGCAGTGCAAGGCGGCAATGCTAACCACTGCACGCCGTACCGCCTGCTTTTTGTAATCATAAGAACATAACAGGTTTACAAATGGGCGGAGGTCACTTGGCCGATCTAGCCTGTTAAATAGTTCATTGATCCAAGGTTCTAATCCAGCCCTGTCTTGAGTGAAACCAAAGGTATAAGAATGTTCGGTATACAACTTTTCGCTAATCCGAACATGAAGAGTTTGTACCTTGTAACTCGTTATAAGAACCGAATTGTGCAAAATCCAAACGTTGAAGTTCAAAGGTGACCGATTTTTCCCGAGAATTCAGCGCCACCGAACAGCTGTTTGTTTCCGCACGGGGTGACAGGCATTTTAGTTATGGACACCGTGAGGCAGCAGTGCTTTGTTTACGACCACAGCGGAAGCTTGTGCTCTCATTTTCAAAGTGTTTGTTTTCTAGTTGCTGTTCATTATGGGGTTTTAAGGATGGGAAAAAGATTCTTTAGTGTAATAGTTAACAATTCGGCCAGCAGCCATGTCACCCTGCAACTTACAATTGGCAACCCACTAAAGCTCAGCAGGTGTGAGCCTGGTCAGTACCTGGATGGGAGACTAAAAAAAACTAACTTTGCTGCTGGAAGAGGTGTTAGTGAGGCCAGCAGAGTTCGCTCATCCTGCGGTCCATGTGGGTCCTAATGCCCCAGTATAGTAATGGGGACACTACCAGTGGAGTCACGGAGGAGCCCGGTTGTGTTGCAGATCATCACAGACCGGCTGCACTTCCACGACGAGAACGCCATCTACCCCGTGGGCTTCTGCAGCACCAGGATGTTCGCCAGCATGAAGAGCCCCGAGCAGCAGTGCCTCTACACCTGCCAGATAAAGGACGGGGGCAGTGGCCCGCAGGTACACCGGTCACGCTCAGCACACGGGAATGCAAGGAAGGTTGAGTGCACAGTACTTTTTGTGTGCTCAGGAAAAGTTCCTATAAAGGCTCTCCCCCCTAGCAGAAGTGCTAGCATATTTTTTTTTAATTTGAAACTGATTCTGTTGCAGTTTGAAATTGTGCCCGAGGAGGACCCTCAGAATGCTATAGTGGCTTCTTCTGCCCTGACCTGTCATGCCAACCTGCTGAAGGCAATAGCGGCCATGAGGTACTTGACCAATATAGGACTTGCACAACAGCAATCAACAGTGCTTCAGTACACAGCTTCTGCAGGATGTTGGTTTGCACATACACATGCATAACACTAAAAGTAGTTTTAAGTGCAACTTAAAATTCTGTGGTGTAAGTGCAATGCATTTAGCTCTGTTCTGCCCCTACCGGGGTTTAATCATGATTACTGCACATGTTGCATAAGGATAGGAAAGATGATTAAGCTCAACCATTTAAGGAGCTGCATTGTCATTATTTGCATAAGAAGCCATGTACCTGTTTCTTTTAATTCCTAGCTGTAAATATAGATGTATTACCTGCAGAAGCCATGTCCTGGAGGAAATCAACAGAGAGGACATGAATATGTTCGAAATGAGCGATATATTGTTACGATGATGTGCTGTTTGCACGATCTACCTCACTAGTTCCCAAATTTCTTCCCTTTTTTTTAAACACGAACCCGCAGGGGCAAGCCTCTCACGTCCATTGTGCCGTCAGGAGCAGATTTCTTTGGATTCTCTCACCCCACCATCCAGAATCTGATCCAGAGCTGTCCCGGGGCGCGCAAGTGTGCGAAGTGAGTGCTCATACACGTGGCGTCTATTGATGCAGAACTCGAGCTCTGGGAATTTCAGGGAGCAAGCAGGTTTGAGACGGATCTGTTATTGTGTCAGACAGTTGTTTTCAGGGATAGAGTCTGTTGTAAAACCGTACATTTGTATAGTAGTTTTCACCACCACTTTTTCCACACCTGAAGTGTAGCACCTACCTGGTGTTAGGAGTTCCACACAGCACACTAGGTGGAGAAGTGAAAAAGCAGCTTTGCTCCTTGAATTAATGGGGAAAGTTAGGAAGTCCGAATTGTACAATCCCAGAGTGGACTTTGGTTGGGACAGGGGTTAACACCCCTACTCTTTGAACACATCATAGGATCTTTAATATCAAAGCAGTCAAGACCTCAGTTTGACTCTTCATCCAAAGAATGAGGATGTACCTTCTGCAAGTGTTCCTGGTCACCAGTCTATGGGAATTGGGTTGGTAAATTCTCCAAGCACCCCCTGTTGCTCCTCCAACCACACTTGCAAAAGCAACCTGAATGTCCCTGGGTCTCCCATCCCAGTGCTGGTATCTGGTGTCTTGGGGTAGGGTCATAGGATGGAACATCCCGGTCCTGTTCCCTTTGATAAATTAATAATAAGGTGCAGGAAATTGCTTTTCAGAGGTAATGTATTACTTTACAGGGTAACAATATATAAGCTAGTAAGATCACTGTAATTGTTGATTATTTAAAATTAGTTGTCCCAAACTTCTGATTTTGAAAAAGTAATACTTTACACAAGCGAATTATAAGAGTAATGGGTTACTTTTTAAAAGTAACTTTCCACAGCAAAGCCATAGAGCCCTTTGTACGTGTGATCAGGAAAACACAATCGCAAACGAACTCGAACTCAGGGGACCCGGATCTCATTTGTCAATTTTTATTTTTCAGCAGGTGAGTCTCTCTTTTATACGTCTAAGGAAAAGGTTGTTCTGAGGCGTTTAACTCTCGGCTGTGTGAACGTCTCCTCAGTTACCAGTGGGTGCGCTTTGACGTCTGGCGTCCAGGGGACGGGCAGCTTCCTCACAGCCTGTCGGAGGACGACGCCTCCCTCAACTTCGAGGCCTTCCAGAGGCAGCAGGGCTTCGAGGAGTGTGAGGCGGCGGAGCGCGGCCTGGCGGGGGAAAAACAGTCCGGCAGCATCAGCTCTGGGGGCGTTCCACACGGCTCGATAGGTACACTGATTCACCCTAAAACTGCACCTCATCTCCTGCTGATCAGACCGGGTTGCAACAGATTTCATCATGTACCTGCTAACTGTGATGTGTTGTTGTCGTAATTTAGTAGCGATATTGGTCTGTGATATATTGCCATGTTGTTGGAATTCAGAAATGCTAGTCCTCTCTAATGTAGTTTGTGAAGTGATTTATATCAGTCGTGTATTACAGAATAGTAATGTGGAATTGACTCCTTTGTCAGTGTTATTTGGTAGTGATAATGGTTTACAGATGTAATACGTTTCAGTCGTAATTCATCACTTGCATGGTTTTCCGTCATATTTATGTCAAAGATAAAAAGAAGTAGATGATGGGGGGCCTTCCCTTGCCTGTGCAACCTCAGGAAGGCCTAGCCTGCAGTTCAGCCTGTGTCCTCCAGATGTCCCTGTAGGAACTCTAAATGCAACAATTAATAGGCAATCAACAGAAACTGTGATGAAGCCTGAAATGAGAAATTATGGGTTTATTGTGCAAACCAAAATATGTGGTTTCAGAAGACCATTACAAATGCATTAATTTTAACTCATACTGTGTGGAAATGGACTGTACCCAATACAGTGGTGTTAAAGGACCTAAAATCATTGTGGGAGGTTGTGTAAGGATGCACTCAGCGTTTTTTCTGATTGCAACATCAATGTGTAAGTATAAGTAAAGTACGTAAATAAATGTCTGGTTGACAGTGGATTGAAAGTCCAGACAACTGAGGAATTAATAAATGCGTACCAAGATTTGGCACAGTTTACTGGCACTGCACAGACAGCACAATAAATAGACATTGTGTTAAACCTTCATTAAAATATAAAACACAAAACGCGTTTTATTGAGCCAGCTCACAGAGACACTTAAGGGTGTCGGGATCTTCGACCCAACACAAGTATGTGGTTGGGATGTGAATTCCCTTCCCACTTCCCAAGATTCTATTCCAGGCTGTGATGAGGGATGTAAATCCGAAGTGGATAAAATACAAACACTATACAAAAGAAAATGGCAGGAGTCCTGCAAGAAACCGGAAGATGATTTTCCAACTTCCGATGAAAGGGTTAGATGATATTTGCAGGTTGTTTCTAATTCTGTGGAATGTGAAAGAAATGGGTATGTACGGGCAGGTAGTTATGCACAGCAACTTCTAATTTGAATTTGTGGCTGCATTGTCTGCTATGACTCATTGAAACGATTGAGGTGCTACAATGGGACGATAGCATAGTAAGTGGTTTCAGAAGAGGTGTTGGTGTTGGAGGACTGAAGCATGGCTTAGAACTTCATCAAGAATAACGCCTGTCCCGCGATTCTTCCATTTGCATAGGTGAGACTATACTGTTTGTGTTTGCTTAAGGTTTTGAGGTAGTGAAATTATTGCAGCGTTCAGATGAACCACCTTGTGCTGTGCATGCTACAAGATAAATGGGCACTAAAAGAAAATGGTGGGTGGAAATGTGGTGTGTGTGTGTTCTGGAAGCTCAGCCGCCGAGAATCTCGCTGCCGTTCTCATGACCGCGATGCTGTGCGTCTCTCTCCCCCCGCCAGTGCGGCTGTGCTCCAGCGTCGACACCCTGCCGGGTCACAGCGCAAAGAGCAGCGTGGGAGAGTTCTCTGCCTGTAGGATCCAGCCACTGGGTGAGTAGTCGGGTGCCCACGAACTAACCCAGTTCAAGCAGTACAGACACGGGAATCCTCAACTCTTTTATAGAATAGGAACCTAGCTTCCTTGATCCCTTCAGAATCTGACGAATTTGTGTAGCTGTAGACAATGATATAATATAATCTGCAGGACTGAACTATTTCATCAAAGTACTCTTCACTTTGTTATTCAAATCACCAGCTTTATTGAACTTTACAGGTGTAGCCATATTTGTTTCCAGTTCCTAGGTATTCCTGAGTTTTGCCTGAGCTGAGAGCTCCAACTTAAATTAGCAGGATGTCCTGTTACATAAGTGGGCGCAAATGGATGTTAAGTTGAAGTATATTAAAACCAAGGAGGCACTTCTTTACCCGAATAGTTGTGGGAGTATGGAACAAGTTACCCAGCCATGCTGTTGGTTAATTGACTACTACCAAAGAGGATAGGTGGGCTAGATGGCCTCCTCTCTTTTGTAGCCTTGGCTCCTTGTAAGCTTCTGTATTGTGACTTTCAAAGCTCTCTCCTCTCTTCAAGTCCGGCCACCCCAGCCTCCTCTCTCCTCCCACGCCAGGCTGCTGGGTCAGCAGCACTTGGGCCCGTCCCCGCTGCAGCCTTCAGCGTCCGCCTCGCACTTCGGCAGCCCCTGAGCAGAACCGTCCCGATCCCAGTCCCGGGACGTCCAAGCGAAGCAGCCCTGCGCCGTCTCAGGGTCCAGATCGGTGACCTTCCCTGCTCTTCTGGAGGAAGCGTCACACAAGCTGTGAGGGCTGTTTATGATTGACTTCTGCTCCGCCAAATTATAAGGATCCAGCTGTTCCTGGTCAAAGGATGAATTACCAGCTGCACTGGACTCTGGGACAGGACAGTTGTGGATGTTTTCTAAAGGCAGCTTTGGGCTTATGGACTCCTTTTTAAGTATTGACAGTGCTAAAAAATCTGTTTTTTTTTATTATTATAATCCGATTGTACAGTCAGTCATCAAATGAAACTTGAAAGTTTGAATGTGTTTGAACAGCAAAAAGGCAGCAGCGATGATCTGTGCTCCTTGTACATTTCTTTGGCTCACACCTAACTAGTGCGAGTAAAGCTTTGGAATAAAATGGCTGTAGGATTAAAACAGACTTCTAACCATTTTTGTCTATCCATAATCCTAGGTGTTACTGGAAGAGAACTAAACTGCAAATGTTGTTTATTCCTGCTACCACGTGTTGTGTTAGACCGTACCTGCTTAGCTCTGTTGCAGTCTTTCTCTGATTTAGGAAACAAAACTTCTAACGGACTGTTGCTGATAAACAATAGGACAAAATGGCTTTCCATTTTTCAGTTTTTATTTTAAGCACTTATCTTTGCTTTACTTTTTAAGTGTTTCCCCATTTAAAAACATTAAAACTGCAGACTGTGAAACGGGAGCACTTGTACAGTGCTCAGGCAGTGGTCAGCAAACCACAGAGGCAGTTCCAGCGCCATTTGTGCAGCTTCATACTTTTAAGCCAGAGTGGATTTCTTCAAGGCTGTGTTCATCAGCAGTAGTTAAATGAGACTTCCAGGCAAATGACTTTTGAACAGATTGGAGATGGATTCTGTGTACAGTAAGTGAACAATGTTTAATATATTAGTTAATAAATATCCTGGGTGTAAGTGTCAATGACTTCATTTCACTAGATTGGGTTCTAAATGAGGTAGGTAGAGTGACGAAAATGGAGCCATAATGCCATAATTTTTTATTCTCTAAGTACTCTGAATTTCACCTGAATTTGACACAATGTGCATTATTGCAATAATCGACGCTTTAGTAGAACGCATTTATTCAAGTGCAAGATTTGTTTGTGCAAAATGACATCAAGGAGGTCAAATATGTTATCTTTGCTCTGACCTAATGGCCACTGTCTACAATAAAAGGGGGAGCGGGCAGGACTCCATCAGCACTGTAGACTGGACAAGCCTTGAAGTCACATGGCCAGTCTTTCCAGGCGTAACGCAGGCCAGAAACTTTCAATGTACAGTTTTCTGTGGACAGTACAACAGAATCGCTGTTGGCCTTAATGATTGGTGCTGGGAGCCACGAAGAGCTGGAATCGCCAACTTCCCTCTGCCTGGAGCAGCAGACCTGTCGGTCACAGCACAGAGAACACAAAGGTAAGTCAACAGACAGCCCTGAAGTCAAGGATGAGAGTATGTGGTTTTTAATCTGTTGCGGTACAATCGCATCACTTGTGCAGATCTTAGGTTATAAACCCCAATTAAAACATGGATCACTTAGGGATTACAAATCAGTAAAGGCAAACTAATAGTGCAAGTTTGCATAAGTCAGATCATTGTTCTGGTGAAATTCAGTTACACATCTTCACTTTTTCCCCATAAAGAACCAAAACAACATGCAAAGATTCTGCCAGCATGACGAGTCTGCGAAGACTAAGAGTGTTTGGGGTTCGACGGGACGTAATGCTACTCTTTTACCGTGCTGTAATCGAGAGCATGATCGGATATGGTTTTTCAGTGTGGTTTGGTAATCTATCAGTTCATTTTAAATAGCAAATTACCAGCCTCTTCCAGACCGCTTTGAAGGTCATGGGAGTGAAATGGCACCCCTCCCTGCAGACATTCTTTGAAAAATCCATAATCAAACAGGCAGAGAAAATTATATCAGATCCTTCCCACATCCTCAGCTCTGAATATCAACTTCTTCCTTCTGGCAAACGTTTTAGGGTTCCCAGATGTAGGTCAAACAGATACAAACATTCCTGTGTTCCACTATCCATTAAAGCTGCCAACACAAATGTCAAGGATAAACACAATTTTGACTCTTACAACCCACTTGAGTGCAATATATTTTGTGATGTGTTATAAATGTTACATGTTGTTATGTGTTATACTGTACATGTGCAATAGAATAGAATGTTTTTCTTATTGTTTGCAATAGTGTAATGTGCAATGTTTTTCTTCTCTTTTTGCATTCTATTTAAATGTACAGGAATGCTGGGTGTCCATTACAAATTTCCCTCAGGGGACAATACAATCTTATTTACACAATTAGCAAATTTGGCCTCATATTCTCAAGATAGTCTCATCCTGGTCTGTGAGAGCTTCAGTCCTGAAGGTTTAAGTTGTAAACTACAGTAGAAGTGAGGGTAAAGATTAAACTGGCTGACACGAACACTGAACTCCTTGAACGTCTTAGAATAGAGCTTTGAGGGCTTTATTCTAGTGTGCCTCCTCTTTTTAGACGAAAAAAAATGAACTTACTTCAAAGATGCTCTTGTGAAGCGTGACGGAGATGTTTGTGGAGTAGATGATGCTGATGTTAGCTGCTTGAACAGAAATCTTCTGCGGGAAAGGACCCTGGAAAGACACTTTTTCTCCGTAGGCCACAGCCCGCGCCCCCAGTGTCAGCCGGTAAGCCACATCCTGTTTATAGCGTGGGTGGATACTAAGAGATACAAGCACTGTGGTTAGTGCTGCACCACCAGGACAGAAGTCAGCATCGGTGGCCCTGAAGAACTACTACCTATCGATGTAACAAGTGGCTCCTAGTCAGATGGCAGACCCCGGGATACAAGGGCCAACTTGAAATTTTTAAGTGGTAATTTTTCACATTACAGTCAGTCATAGCTGGAAAAAGCAAAAGACAGGCAGTGCGAATTAGTCTTCAGGACATAAATTGCAATGGACAAGTGGAGTTTCTGAACGTCCCCCAGCACAGTGCTGCAAGTTGTTTTGAAAAAGTCTAAACCAGCTGGTTAAGACTTGTGCTTTAGTCAGCTCCTTCCTGAAAGGATGTACAGTGAGCCTAAATAAGATTAAAGGGGAACTGCAAAGCTATTTTCATATTTCCGGGTTAGAAAGAATCGGCATCGATGAGTCAATCTTAAACCACGATGAAAGTCAAATGTACACAGCAATGTGGAAAACCTCCAATTCAAGTCGCAAAACAGGCCAAATTTCTAGGGATGTGCAGCTCAATATTCTGCGTTTCAGAATGAGACAACAACACTTGCGGTGATGTGAAGTGGCTCTATTACATTGTAAACAAGCAGGCTTGTGAGAACATCTCTCTTAATCCAACAGAAATATTGTGTTCGATTCCCAGACCGTTTTGCCGATAACTACTACTCTACTTGTTCCAACTTGATCTGCATGTAGAGTTAACACTTCAGTGTTGAAATGTCTGCTGCACAACCTGTACTTATTCTCTCTGTACATCGCATTGTAGTGACTAGTGAGCAGGAAAGGCTGCATCACGTCGCAATGCTTTGCAAACTCTTGCTCTTGCCAAGGGGCGAGACCAGGGGTTTGCGACCCCATGGCGACTTTACGGTATTTTCACAACGTTCACAATTTTCTGCTCAATTTGGAACATGGTGAAAGTTTGCGGACTGCCAATGAATTTATTTTCTTACCAAGATTTAATAACCGGTCTGAGAAATTGGGACTGCAGTTTCCCTTTTAAGGAACGCCTGCTGTTGGGAGTTGGAAAAGATTGGCGCGGGTGACCAATCCTTTGGAAGTTCCTTTTGAATCCTGCTATGATCGAAGAGCTAGAAACAAAGTTAAGCTTCTTTTTGACCAGTGAAATGGGGGTGATGTCCTACCTGCCCCATGGCGACCTCTCATCCCCCAAGTCCAGACTGACAGCCATAAAAGTATTCTTCATGCGTTTGTTAGGAGCAAAACCAAAGTCAGCTGTCTGCTGCCATCTCAGGTTAGGATAAGCATCGCTCTGTGATTTTTTCATATAGGTTGAGATCTGAGGAAACCACAATGTGGGCTTTATTTTAAGGAAGTCGTAGAAGGTCTGGTGCGTGGACTCGAGTGTCGTCTAAACGCACAGGTGTGGAGGGGGGGGTAGGCACTGTACCTGCACGAATCCGAAGGGCAGATCTGCCGGAGTTTGGCCTCCTGAGCCCTGGTGAAAGGCCAGTCTCCAGTCATCAATCATTGCCGGGAAGGTGCAGTTGTACAGGTCCTGATGGTATTCTGTATTTGCCTCACCTGTGAGCAGGCGAGTGAGTTAGCACATTGCCTTGAAACACATAGCTGATAATGGTCTGTACAGACTTTAATGCTCTTCAAGAAGGCCGCTAAGCCAAGTACAACAAAGTGCACACATCCACCTCTTTAAAAGACTATTTAATGATAGGCACCAAGTCTATAGGCTCAGGGTTTCAAAGCGAAGTCCTAAAAGAGGATGTGGAAACTGAAATTATGGTAACTTTTCTGCAGATTGTATATGACCCTGAATTAGCCCTTTGCTTTTGTGTATGAATATATTTACGGACATACATACTGTAGCTCACAGATTCACTCAGTTCGGACTCTCTTCAGTTACATACCACTACAAGCTGTTACTGTAGGTCATATAGTGTTTGTGGTGCCTTAGACGAGTCAAGTACAGTTTTTTTAAAAGACATACAGATTTGAAGTTCTTTTTGAGGTGAACAATATGGAGGTGATTAGTCCCAATAATCTTGGTGAAATCGGTGACAGGGATGTGATCTCTTAGTGTGCAAAGACCAAGATCTGAGAACGAAAAGCAGTGACTGCAGTTTCTCACCCTGATACCAGATAGCTCCTCTGATGGTCATGTTGAGCAGGGGATGGATCATGGCATTCCACAGCACTGTATTTTTCCAGTGACCCTCCTTCACCTGCAGCCTGGCAAGAGATGGATCACATCAGAGCTGAAGTGTAAGGAAATGGGGTGTTGTCAGCCGAGATGTGATGGTGCCGAATGGCGTCATCTCGGTCACGTTTTCTGATTTGCGAGGCAGCATTTGTGGGCAACAAGTTTATTTGCAGACACGAAAACTAAAGTCCTGCATGTAGCCACGGGCTCCTTCTGGTTTGTCGAACACTGTGAAGGTGAAGGATTTGCTAGCAGCGCTGTGCCTGAGCTGTGGTGTTGTGTGACCCACGTGCTGCTTTCATACACAGCCCCCTAGCCCTCCTGTTGTACCATGAATGGCTATAGATGCGTTGGGTTTTTTTTTTTCAAATCAGTGAGCAGGCGTCTAGCACAGGAAACTGTGGCTTCATAATTGATTGAGCCTCGTCTAGGTTGCTCTCATATACTGCAGAAAAAGACCAAGGAAAGAGAAGAAGTACAGCCAAGTCTGTCTCATTCAGTCTCTCTATGAACTGTGCTTGCAGGAATGCTGTCAGCTTGCAGGGATTTGCAGTGGGAGGGGTGGTGCATTTTAATGGCTGTTGTGCCCATCACAGCAGGTTTTCCACAGAGCCCTTAACAGATTTCTTAACAACAGATACACGGAGCACAGTACGCCAGTCTGAAGATGGTGATTACTTAGTAGTCCCAAGAAAATCAACAACAACTGTTAAGCACAGCCTTTGGTCCTGTGTGGAATAACAGATCAGAGATGCCTCAACAGTCTTAGTTTATAAATTAAAGGGGAACTGCAGTCCCAAATTTTCAGATTGGTTATTAAATCTCAGTATTTTTTTTTCCCCCCAAACTTCGAGTTAAGCACAATGAACTTTGTCAAAGTACTGTATGGTCACCATTGTTGTTGCAAACTGCTGGTCTTGACACGGGCAACAGTGAGAGTTCCCACGAATTTGCGACGCGACATGGCCCTTCCTGCTACATCATGTTTTAACGTGGTCTGCATGCACAGTTAACATCTAATATTTAGCAGCAAAACCATCTTGAAATCGAGAGCAATATTTCTATGGATTTAAAAAAGATAAATTCACAAGCCTGCTTCTTTACAATGTAATAGGGCAGCTTCACCTCACTGGAAGTTTTGTGGCCTCGGTCTGAATCGCAGACCATGACAGCAACAGGGCGCTGTGCATACCTGGAAACTTTGTGACATAAATCGGAAAGGTGCACATTTTACTTTCGTTGCGGTCTGAAATGCACTCATCGATGCTGGTTCTTTCGAACCCGGAAACACGAAAATAGAGTTGCAGTTCCCCTTTAAGATAAGATCAAATCACTTTACTGGCCATATACAATTTCTTGTATTGGGAATTTTGTCTTATTCGCCTACCCCAACTTGCTCTCCATGAGACACACAGACAGGGAGAGAAGCCTGGGACAGAGCACAGGGTCAGCCATTTATACGGCACCCCTGGAGCAGTTGGGGTTAAGGGCCTTGCTCAGGGGCCCAACAGAGTAGGATTCCTCTGCCGGCTGCGGGATACGAACCGGCAACCTTCCAGCCACATGCGCAGATCCTTGGCCACCGCACTGCCCTTTAAGGCTGAAGACCTACGTTCTCAGTCATTGTTTTCAATTAAGTTGAAAATAGACTTCTATTTTTTCTATCCAGACAGTAGAAAACAAAAGACATTAAAGGCCGGATCCCAGTGTTGGAATGTGAGGCCAAGCAAGGAGATCCCAGAGGGTCGGGATACCAGAATCTGTTAAGCCAGACCCGGGAAACCTCAGCCATCGCACAGGAAACTCCATTCTGGGATGTTTTCTAAGCGAGCTGCCGGCAGCGGTGAGCAGCGTCGGTCACCGCTGCGAAGACCCTCGGGGGGCTCACCTGCTCGGCGCGTCGGCCAGGCCACAGTGCTTCAGCGCCCTCCTCGAGGACCACGCCTCCACGGGGGTGCCGCCCCAGCACGACTCCACCAGGCCCACGGGGTCCCCCCGGCTCTTGTAGAGGTCGCGTCCAAACAGCCAGCAGACGGCGGAGAAGTGGGTGAAAATCCCTGCGCCCAGGACCTCTGCCACCGGTGACAAAACACAAACGCAAAAAAGCTTGTCTCCGACAGCGTGCCAGAATACGAGACACCAGCGGCGGCATTTTTTTAAAAATAAAGCCTGGTTACCTGCAGAAGGGACAGACCAGGGCAGCTCTACTCCGGCCAAGTCGGTTAGCTTCACATCGCTTTTCTCCAGAGCCACAGAGAAGACACGTACCCTGGGGAACTTTGCAGCCTGGGATAGCTCTTCAGTGGCGTTCATCACCTGGGCAACAGGAGACGTCAGCACTGGGGAGCCCCACCAATACTATCACAAACCCAATTCGCTCAGTTCTACCCGCTTAAAATATCCCGTGGCCTGCTCTGAGAAACTGCAGAAACTGTTGTGAATTCTGCATCTATGACCTTGTATAAATGGGAGTTACCCAGACACATAACTACACTTGGCTCTACACATTAGTGGGGGAGGACTGTGTAGTCAAAAGGCTTTCGACTCCTCTTTGCTGTTACTTGAAGGAGGTTGCCGGTGTACCGTTTCGTCATGCTAAGCATTCTCAGGTTGCAGGAGTTAAAATGAACGTGTCCCCACTGGCTTCCTAAGAACTGAACAAAAACGCAGTGGTCAAATATGCTAAACAAGTCAGTCCTTTTAGGGGCTGTGCGTGCTAGCCCAAAGAACCTCAAGGAGATGACAGACAAACAGCACTGTTAATTATATTCAGAATATTCTTTCGGTGAGCGATCCCCTGTTTGGTGCGTCTGCCTGCTTACTCCCTCAGACAGGCTGCAGCCTCGCACCTGGGACAGGGTCATCTCCATGTTGCTCTGTCCCCCGCAGAGCCACACGTCTCCGAAGAGGACGTCGCTCAGGTTGCGGACTGTGGTAGCCAGTCGGCTCTGCTGGACAGCACTCAGGACGAAGGGCCCTCCAGGATTCACTGGGTCCAGAGTCACCCTCCAGATGCCTGTTGGAGTAAGGAGGGTGAACTTCTCGAGACCCCTTAAAAGGAGAACCGCAGTCCCGATCTCTCAGACGGGTTGTTAAATCTCGGCAACAAAAGAAATCCATTGATGGAAAAAAATGGACAAATTCCTTATCGTGAACTTTGTGAAAGTGGCGTAAGTCATCATGTTGTCACACACCCCTGGTCTCGGCACGTGCCCGAGCCCACGCCAACTGTAATGTGATGCGGCCCTTCCTGCTCGCTAGTCAGGGAATGACTAATGAGATGTATGAGCGCATAAGTACAGGCTGTGTGGCAGATGTTTCACCGCAGAAATGTTCCTACGTGGCCTGCACGCAGAGCTGACGAGTTAGTAGTATTTCTCGGCAGAAACCGTCTTGAAGGCGAGAGCAATTTTTCTACTGGCTTCAAAACGAGATGTATTCACAAGCCTGTTTGCTTACAATGTCCCAGGGCCGCAAAACATCACCGGACGGTTTGTTGCCTTGTTCTGAATCGCTGTGCATACTTGGAAATTCCAGATATTTTGCGACGTCACCTGGAGGTTTTTACAAGTTACTATGTCCACTTGAGTTTGAAATGCGCTCATCAATGCTGATTCTTCCTCACCTGCGGTTCCCCTTTAAGAAGAAGCTTTGCCCCGTTGGGCGTGCAACACCCCTCCCCAAAGGTAGCCAGTCTCCTTAAAGTGTGAAGTGCCTCCTAGACACAGGCTCCTACCAGATTTTCCAGATCAAGGAAAAGAATGGGCAAGTTTCAAGTTGTCTAAAAAAAGAATGCCATGAGCCTCTGAAATTGAACTTAATGGTTATGAGCTAGAGGGGGGGGGTTTGCTGACCTTTGTCCACATTCACAGTGTGTGAGACCTTCTCCCGCTCTCCCACCACAGTGACGGTAACTTCAGCCGCATCTTCGCCGTATCCCCAGACCACCGCTCGCTGCGGTGCCTTCTGGAGAACCATGTGATCCCCGTAGTAAGAGGCAAAGCGGAATTCTTGTTCTGCAACAGAGCAAGAACATCACCCGGTTTATAAGGAAGATAGAAACGAGCATTAAAACGAATAAACGCAGACAGCCACCAATGTCCCCGCTTCTGTTTTTCTCCAGCAACAGCCGATCAGAGTCCGGAGTTAGTGCAGTGCTTTCAGAGCTGTAGAGAGTGGGGGCAAACAGCAATTTGACAAGTGATACTTCATCTTAATCTAGTTCTGTTTGTGATCCAGACCAATCGCATTCAAGCCAAATCTTTTGTGGAACAAGCTGTTTTTTTTTAAGTGTGCACTTCGCAGTCACTCACAAGAGAACGCTTTAGCTCCTTTAACTTCATCGGGAAACCATTCACACCCAACAGTAGGCTTACGAAAGAAGAAACAGCCGCTGCCCACGGTTAAGCAGTAGGTATTAAATGGCTATATGGTATTCTCCGGTAAGCTAACAAAAGCAAGCCCGACTGCAAAGCTTCGTTACTTACGGAATCCATACAAATTAGCTACACAACAGAGTAGCCACAGCGTTCGCAAGCGATTCAAAGTCATCGTGCATGCAGTCCAGGAAGAGAAAGTATTGCTGCACAATACAGGCTGATCACATGCCTCATTCCCCGCTTTTAAGATCTAAACAGCACACCTAGTTTTCTTATGCTTGGTAAATTGTGCGCGTCTGATTTCTGGAAGGTATCGCAACCTCAATTAGAGGGCGTCGATCATTTAATTTGGGCGGTGGTTGTTTTTAAGAAGGGGGAATGGAGTTTTCTGTTCACTTTTAGTTTGTCTAGGAACCCAAAGTAATGCTGTTCATGTTTTACTGGGGACCAAGTATTCTGTGCCCGTTCACCAAAGGGAAAAAAAAGATATTTCCGTTTGCATGCAGTATTTGTTTGGAAAAATAAGCGCTTTACCATGTTTCTCAGTCGGATGTTACACAATTTACGGCTAACGTCACACTGTATTCAGAAGCACTGTATCACTGGCGTTATTTCCTTTGAGATAGGCTGCTCGCCCACTGATTTGTATGTTGGCGTTATCGTTTTATCTTTTTTTTATCCTTGTGAATGAACTTGGACAACCTTTGTTTGCCTAATCGGTAATGCCAGTTCACTAATAAATGATCTTTTCAAAAACATTTCTTCGACGGTGTGATTTATTGCTGTTATAATGGGTTTAAATCAAGAAATGGAAGCAAAGCGTACACTAAACTCAGAGGTTGTATGTTTTGTTTTACAGCGTTTGCGCTTTTAACATATTGTGAGCCTTCTGGAGACAATTTCATAAGTCTTACGGTAAAACATTTCAATATATCGGCAATTACACATCTTTTGATGTAGAAAGGCCAATTGCCTAATAAACCTTGTTCACTGTAGGTCAAATGATAACGATCAAAGAGGCAGGATAAGGTTAAATATGCTATCTTCACCTACCAACACGTTTTAAGATGTTCTGTTCTGAAAACTATTTTAAAGCTCAACTTTTATAATGGGAAAACTTTTCATCCCCCCCCCCCATTATAATCCGACGCCACTGTGTAGCACTGTTGTTGTTGTTGTTTTAATCCTTACGGAAAGATTCACTTTGAAAGGTACATCACTCAGATACTCGGTACACAAGCCCGAGACCTTGAGACCCGACCGAGCCCGAATGCTACTGCCAAATTTAAAACCCGAACCCGAAATCGGTCACTCTCTTTTCCTCTCAGAACGAGTAGACACATGCCCACACGGAGACGTGTTCTCACAGACGCGGTTTTACAACGCTTTGCTCGGCTGCTATGCGCTGAGAAAAACTGGTATTTTATAAATCTGTACTAATTTTGAAAGTGGGGAAGGGCTGATATTGGCCTACTATAAAAAACAGCGCTATTAAAAAAAATCATGCAGGCATGACTGGTTTTATCTGTTACACACATACGAGAGAGGGAGCGAGCGCGCAAAACGAGTTACGATGTTTTTCTAATAAAAATAAAGTTAAAACTTAAAATAATAATAATTCATTTTCACTTATTAGAAAACAGTCGGGTAGCAGATCTGTATTCGGAGTGTATAAATCTCCGTTCTGATACACGCTCACAGCCTGAGAAAAAAACAGCTGCAACGATGTAGAAAACTACAAATAATCAGAAAATGCATCAGAATGTCCGTCTGGAAAATAAATATACCGAGATGCATTAAAATCACACCATTAGTACACAAACACATTTAAAACACAGTGCGGTTGGATTCAGTACTCAGGTACACTTGTGCTTCAAATTACTCTCCCTATAAATAGAGCTGATTGCAAATGTTACAGCTATTTCTTTTCCTGTTTACAAGTATCACCTCTAATGACGTGTTCGTGACCATATTGTGGTCAGAGGCGGGAAATCCTGCTTCTAGGTACCACCAGAAGTCAGATATGTGGAGTCTTTTTTTTTCAGCACTCAATATAAAAAAAACGTAGTGCAACGTCACCATTAAATGACTTACTTCTAAAAACATGGAGCAATTTTTGGTGGTCAATTAAGCAGATTATTTGTTAGACAAGATAATTTAAAGATTATTTCAGCCCACAATCAGAGTACCCTTCAACACACAAGGATCAGAGCTCTCTTAATGGATCAGATTATTCCCTTAATTAATCATTAATGCATGAGTGGTCCTGATCTTTAGAAACAGGTGATTTCTAAGATGATCTGGATCTGGGTTCTCCAGGATGAGGCTTGGTAACCCCTGCTCTAGATTGCATGGCATTTCAATAGTTTCCAGTGGTATGACAAATGCTGCAGTATTATGGAATCTGGTGAGGAAGGACTTCTGTGTATATCGGGGAATTAGCCACATGGCCGTGCAAATGAAGTTCTTTTTTCCACTGGCTGGAAAGAGTCAAAGAACTACTGAGAAAGTGGAGATGGGGAGGAGAAACAGAGCTCATGTTGCCTTTGTTTATGGCTTAGCCAAACCACAACTTCTCCAAGATTCAAGTCAATTGTTATTAATCACGGCTTGTGGCTGTTCTCTCCAACACGATCATCTGTGACAAGGCCAGCACCTTAGCCAAACTGGAGTCACACCCATAGGCACACTGTGTATTAGAAAGAGTTTTTACTTTCAGTTTATTGCTGTGAAAAAAACCCCATCAACCTATGGTTCCATACTTTTGTGAAGGTGTGCGAAGTCATCTTTTTCAAGTTGACAGGCTTTAAGCCAACCATAAAAAGGCTTTCTAGATTTTTAAAAGGCTAACTCCACCCTCTCTTTCCTCTCACAGGAAATTTGCACAAGTACACTTACAGTACATAAAATCTCAAAGCAGAAGCTGAAGGGGACATTTTTTTTAATATCTCATGCATGGCTCTGGGAATGTATTTGTCACTGTTCCTTTGCTTATTAAACGGTAAGAGACGTTTTGAATTATAGGGACTGCTCTTTTCAGGACTGTTAGTTTTGGAGAATAGCGTTAAAAATGTTTATTAGCACTGCAGCTGCTGGTTCTGTTGTTTTTATACATCATTTCTTTGGGCTGAGTGGCCATCTTTCACTTTTTAACCTTTGGAGCCATTTTCATATATAAAGCAATATCCTGACATTTCAAGTAAATGTGACACACTTAAGAGAAAATAAAATATGCCTTGGGGAAAAAAGCTTCTCACTGAATTTCAGATATTGTGTTTGCCTTCAGAATGAGTTTGTGTTTAACGTCTGATTAACAGTAATGTTCAAAAATTGTTCTGGGATTCGGTTCTACTGACAAGTGATGGAGATTCAGGTCAGTTCAAATGGCTTCTTTGCCTTGAAGACATTTCAAACCCTCTGTTTTCTGTGGTATCAGGAATTACTCACCTGTGAAATCTTTTTTTAAACTTGAGGCTCATTATTCTTCGGGAATACGTTTGTGTCATATTCAGTATATATACATACTGATATGCATCAGTAGTGCTAGCAAAAGTACACTTTGAACACTTTGCATCTGTAGTGTACAAAATGATATCTTTTTCCTCTAACACCATAAAAGAATTCCAGAGTCTATTGAACCCACAGTTAAAAAGTTGTTGCAGTGTTGTTAATCCACAGTTGCATAATACACATACTGTTTTCAGGCTGTGCAGTTTGCGTTTTAAATATAAAAATGATATATTTTACTTTAATTCAAAATGTTGAAAATATTACATTAATCCAAAAGTTTACATAACAGTATATTTTTGAAATTCAGTATTTCTTAAATCCACAATTGTTTTCTTGAGTGATAATTTCTCAAGAATTAATTGGTGAACATCACCTACAGCTGGCACGTTTGTCATAAAAATACTGTACCAAGCTTTGAATTACTCTTAATCTCCATTCTTCTGGAAATCCATTTGATTTGGTTTTACATAAAGCCTCTTTCATTGCAAGTGCTTTGCATGGATTCAGTAGGGCACAGACCCTACTGAGACACACAGTAGGGCACAGACCCTACTGAGAACACGAGACAAATAGAAAACACAGACCAATTGTGATAGATACACTCACAATTGACAAGTCCATTGTCATAAGACCACCATCATAAATAAGATTAGATTTAGGTGAGTTGGGTTAAACTAGCCTCAGGGATACATTTCAAATTTCCTGTTAACTCACTTTCATCATCTCATTTATAATCTTTTTTAATTAACACACAAGCATCATTAAGCTTTTACCAATTTTGAAGTCCTGTAGTTAGAACCTGTTGACAGGTCCAGGTCTTTAAAGAGGTTTGGAACCACGTTTCTCTTTACAGCTGTCAGCCTGCTCACACCTTGACAGTTCTCTGCTCGGCCCTTTACTCTCATTGTTCTCATACTGCTGCTGTGTTTACTTGGGAATTGTCTCTTGCTCTGGTTGCAGGACTCCTCCAGGCAGCTGGGCGTGGGAGTCTTCTGAACATTGAGGGGAGAGCTGGTGGGACCGCTGTCCTGCTTTGTCTCTACAACCTGACAGCTCTTGACAACAGGACAGGAAATCTGGACATTGAGTGGACTGTCAGAAACACAGCGAACATCAGTGATCCAGTGGTAATATTCTCAACAATTCCTCAGTAAATTTGTGAAAAGGAGTAATATTTCTGTTTGATGCATGTCTGTTTGCTTTAATTAAACAGATCTTGTCTTTAAACAGCTTAATTCATATTGGTGAACAGAATAAATATAGCTGTCGTATTTAAATATTTCTAGAATCTCTCAAATACTGTATCTTCATTCATATGTTATGTAACCTGAGACGGCAAGCACTCTATAGAAGATTCCCTCGGTATTCAGTATATATATATACTAAACTTATATTGTAGCCTAATATTAAATTGACTGTCACTTTGATACTTGCATACATTTCTGTTGCTTTGAAATCACTTTACCGTTAATGTAACTGAAATTTTGTTTTGAATCGTAGATCTGGTTTTCAGGAAACCAAGTTTTTAAACTGGTCCCGTCTTTCAGCACCAGAATATCTTTCTCAAGTGATAATCAAACTACTGGAGATGCTTCTGTAAAGATTATCTCCCTGAGAACAGAAGACTCTGGACTTTATCAATGCCAGGTGAAGAAAGTCCCTTTTATTCAGAAGACAACCATCAACATGACAGTTTTAGAAGATCAGAGTAAGTGATTTGATTGAATCTAAAAACTCTGGCTTGCTGCTAGCGACATACTTTAAAAAAACGGACCTTATTAGAGACACTATCAATATCACACTAAGAGTCTTCAACAACAAAAGCAGCTGATGTTACCCTCTTGAAGCCTGGATAGGGTTGAATTCTTCCACAGAGAGTCATTTTATCTCCGCTCTGTAGCTCCAGAGGCAAATGAACTGGAGGAGGCTTATTGCAGATTGAGGAAAGTGGACAATAAAGTTAACATTATCCTGACTGCACTGTAGAGCCTTGCTGCATTGCACTATGAGAATTATGCTGTTTTCTTTTAATTGAAACAGGAAAAAGGAAGGAATGAGGTATTCATATTTCTGTGGAGGTAGTTTTCTTTCATCACCAAAGTTCCACCTAAAGGAGAATTTACATGGCTTTTACTCAATTGCTCAGCTGTGTCTCGGTACAGCCTTGGGTCTGCTGTTTCCTGGAACTGTTCTGTCTCCTCAGGAATGACAGAGGAGGCCCCCTCCAAATATATTTTCACTTCTGTGCCTCTCCTGTTGCTGCTCATCTTGGTGCCTTTGGGGATTTGGTGCTTCAGAAGAAAATGTGCTTCTGAGGAGAGGTAAACACGTTTGCGGTACTTAAAAAGCCCCCAATATGAAAACTTCATGAGAATCGGTCTGTCCTGCTCATTCTTCCATTGTCTCTTACTTCATAATTCAACAGTGAAAGCAGTATGTCAGTTGACAACCACTCTTAAATACAACATTTCTTTCAAAAGGTCTCTAAATAACTCCTGTTTGTCTAATAGTCACAAAGATTTGATTCATATCTGCCAGCAGTATAAACAGCAGTGCTGATACATGCTAAAAGTGTTACCTCGGATCTCCTTCACAATAGTAGTTTGCTCCTTCATTAGTCAAATTGTATTTATTGTGTCTGTGTTTATTTTGAAGTGTTATAACCCTTACTGTTTTCATACGCATGTGCAGAGAGCCATTACTAAGGTCAAGTAATTGATGTGCTCTGATTATTTTTTAAAAAGCACATTTGGTATCGACATTTCTTAAAGGGTCTTCTGCAATTTCTGAATCACAAGGAGAACAATCCTAGGAAGATGTTCTAGTGTGCAATGTGTTTTTGGATTCGAAAAATCTCATGGAGGGCTTAAGATTTCTATTGGCGACAGCAATCAGATCACAGCTTTAAAAATGAAATGAATGTAAAACATAAAATATATAACACTTCCTCTCCAGATAACATTTCTAAAATTCTTCTGCTTTTAGAAAGGTAGAGGGCTCTTCTTCGGTCTTAAAGGTGAGTTTTTTATATTCAGTAAGGCCTTTATTAGATTTAGTTTCATTACTTCATAAGCCCTATCAAAGCTTTTCATATTGTTTAAGACAGAGCGCTGGACATCGTTTTGGCTTTTCAGGTAGAGTTTTGCAACAATCGAGCATTCCATAGCTTTCTGTACAAGTATTGTTTAAATTATTTTATTTCAGTGAATTTGGTAAAATTCTCTTTTGTTATTTTGTAGTAACATTGTCATCCAAAACAGCCTGTAGCAATAGAGATAACAGATAATAGAGATAACAGATAAGATAACAATATCTTTGTAATACTGTATGTAACGATCAAATTAAAAGTCAACACCCCCCCATTTGTTTAAGAAGAGGGATAATCTTGAACAGGATTCCTCTGACTGAGACAATCTACTCATTTACGCAGTCTGAAATGTTTTTATTCTCTTCTTGTTTGTAAAGGATGTGTGTTAAGGTGAACACTGTGGTTTTTCTGATGGTATCTTGCAGGTCACATGATTGTACGTTTTATGTTGCATTGGATGGATATGTATGGATTTTGGTTTTGCATTACTACACAACTATTTTTGTACAAGCCATTTGGTGGATGTGTGTGTCTTTAAATTTAAACATCTCATTACAAAGGAAACAAGAATTAGCAGGGCTTTTATTGGTGGTCCAGTAATCACAAACACCTACAGATATTATTTTAATGTATTATTCAGAATGGTAGGAAAGGAATGCTCGCTTGTGTTAAAAGAGAGCTCTTAATGTTGAATCAGTATGTGCAGAACAGTCTATTGGCTTTTTAAGGAATCAGCTTCTTTTTTTGTTCTTTAAAAGGAGAACGAAGTTTATGAGTCAGTGGATATGCAAAGAAGACTCAAATAAAAGAAAATGCCAGGTAAGTTGTCATTCAGGTGTTGTTCTCTTAGTGAGTTCAGGCCACAGACACCTCAAAGCTTTGAGCAAGACACAGACCTCTAGGGCCGGAGTAAATGACAGGCTTTCAGTGTGTAAAAGCAAGATGGTTGTACAAAATCTGAAACAGAGTAACAGGGTTTTAATATTAAAAGTGGCAGGAGGGTGGAAGATTGGATCTAATCTCATCTTGTTTTTTTCTGGGGTAAAATCACTATTTAGAAACTTAAGAGTTTACAGCGGCTCCTGCATCTGTGAATTCTGCATTGGAGTACTGGATCAACTAAAACTCCTTAAATCATTTATATGGACAACAAGCTGAAGGGGGTGGCACTGTGGTACACTCGTTGGCATTACTGCCTCAGAGAACCGGGGCCCTTAGGGTGCTATCTGTTTGTTTGTTTGCTATCTGGAGTTTGTATGTTCTCTCCGTGTTGGTGTGGATTTCTTCCGGGTGCTCTGGTTTCCTCCCAGGGTCCAAAAACATACTGTAGGTTTGATTCTTCTTGGAAAATTGTCCCTGGTGTGAGTGTGTGAGTGTCTGCCTCTGTGTGTGCCCCACGATGTACTGGCGTCCCACCCAGGGTGTGTCCTGCCTTGTGACCATTGCTTTCTGGGATAGGCTCCGGCTCCCCCAGGACCGTGTTTTGGATAAAGCGGATAGAAAAGGGATGGATGGAACAAGTTAAAAAGCAGATGATCCCGCAGTGAAAGAAAGGTAACTGATAATCGTATCGTTGTATACAGTTCATCCTGCAAGATCATCCTGGGACCGAGCCCCGAGATGTGGATCTCAGAATGGCCATCTAATCCGCGGGTGTGACACACTGTCCTGGGAGAAGGTCACTCAGCGGGGAGGTCTGTGGGACTGGATGGCATTCTGAGAAAGACGACTCTGAAAAAGTTTGTGAAGCCAACTTGATCCTTCTAGTGCAATGACTGTGAAGCTAATCTGTGAAGGCTTTTCTCTTGGAAAAGGACTGGATTATACTATTGCTTTGTTCTTTTCGGCAATTTCAAAGGTAAACAAATACTTGTATTAAATGCTATTTCTGTGACATTTCTTAATTTATTAAAATACTTTTTTGGTAAATAAAGTGCTTTAAAAAGTAATAACCTTGTTCTTCAAAGCATTCATTATTATATTATGGAGGTAAAGCATAAGATTACCCTGAACTTATTTGGCTTACTTGTTTCAATTATTTTATTCAATACATTTGGAAATTTATATAACTCGAGGAGTTTCTGTGGCTTTGAAGTGGATTTTAAAATTTCAAGAGGAGAATTTAAATATTGACATTCATACCTTCTTCATCATGGGATTTCTTGTGTCGTTTGGGAACATGAGAAAGCACTGCTCTGTGTCATAGCAGTTTTTTGGTGTTAGGGAGTTATTTTTCTTTGAATAAATTAATGATGAGCAACATGAATGAGAAGGTAAAGAGAATAACTACCTTCAAAATATGGTACGTGGGTTTTGGAGATGTATTAGTTGAAGAGATTAAATTGTCAGAAGAATAAGGTAGTCTTTGGAAATGCATTAAATAAACACCAACTGTCTAACACACATGGTTGTGTATCTCAAAGGAGAACACAGCTGGTTTCACAATTCTAAGTCTCCTGAAGATTATCAGCACAAATAATGCAGAGTTTGTCGGATAACGACTGAGTGAAGCTTATATCAAATATCTGTGAAGACAGAAATTATACCAAGCTCAGTAAGGATCACACCTGATCGCAACTTCAGATTAGCTCTGCTCATTATGTGTCTTGTACAAAATGCCCTTGGGAGTGGAAAAGTGAGGTGAAAGGTTGAAATAAAGTTATTCAACATAGAAAACCATGCAAGATTTGTAGAAATGTACAATTTCTAAACATCTGGAACAATTTCATAGTGTTATGATGAGGTAGTTGAATTGTTAAATGAAGACGTGATATTTGGCTGATATTTAGGGACTGGAGTTGCCTTATTTGAACTGATCACATGTGTAATTCATTAATAACACAAAAGTGTTGCAAATTTTTAGAAACAGACAGACTGTAAGACTCAGTAGGCTTGTGCTTTTCAGGATCAGAACTGCAGATTCCTGATTCAAGGAGCTTTTCTGCTTGTATTATTAGTTCCACTTTATCAGGGATTTTTTCAAACCCAATTTAAGTTGACATTTCATCAGATAGTAATATTCCAGGCCTTGATCATGAAATCATGTGTCACAAGGACAGCGTCTTGCACAATGTCTGATATTCATTTCCCCTGTGTTGCACAAGATGGTGACGTTTGAATAAGACAGATTTAAGGAAACTCTGATATTTTGTCTTCCAGTTAATTAAGTAAAAAGAAGTTCCTTCAAATTTGTTGTTTAGGTTTAATCAGATTTGAAACAGATTGTAGTTACATTAGATGCAAAGCAATATAATCTTTAGCACATCATTGTATTTAAAGACATGTGAAGTTAAAGAAGGGAAAAAACCTCTGTGGAATTGGATAAAAAAAAACATGTGATAAAGTATAGAAAAAAAAGGAAAAACTAAGAAGGGGCTCTAGGCTCCAGCCAACCAGTGCCACAACCAGAAGCGTTAAGGTGGAGATGCTATAGTTGAACCCAAGTGTTTGGAGTTGAACGTGCTGTCCAGAATGTTCAGTCCTCAAACAGAAGGAGACAGCCCTTGCTGACTTCATTTACATTCTTGAATATGAGTGTATTTAACATTATTTGTAGCCCTCTGACTGGCTGATATTTAAGTAATTGATAAAATGACCAAATGTAAAACAGAGGCAAAAACACAAGGTTGGCCTGGTTTAAATACTGAGGGAATGGCCTTTTCTCACAGGCAATTGCCTGTATTTATATACAGCCTTTCATTTCAAAGGATCACACAGCTCTTTATAAATATCTCACCCACCATAGAAGGGCAGCCCCACCTAGATGATGCCCCACCAGCAATTCCACTATTTTTCACCAGGAGCCACAGTGTACAGCGGATCAGGGGAGAAATGAGAAATTGTTTCAGCATTTGGATTGAATTGAAGGGGAGATTGAAGGAGGGTAGATTGTGCAAAACCAGAGTGGGTTTTAGCCAGGACTCCAGAGCTTACAGCCTTGGAAACAGGTATTCAGGGTCTTTAATGACCAAGTATGTAGGGCCTTGGTTTCATATTTCACCGTAATGATGGTCAAGTTTTTATTTTGTGATTTTCAACTAGATTTTACTAATAGGGAGCATAATTATTTGAGGGTCACTGAGACGTCCTTGTGCAAAAATGGATCATTGACATTTTTTATCTTGCCTAACGTGGTAAGTGTGAATCAAATCATTACTCAACTTTTGATGCTTTTGAAAGAGCTCTGGTTTCTCAAAATGCTGTGAACAGAATTTTTTAGGTGTTCTGGAATAGCTGGACATGTGCTCTGGCTGGGCAAATGATCAGGAATTCCTCAGGAATGATCAGGATCAGGAATTCCTCACACACCCCATCAAACCTGACATTGTTTGGGGACAGTAGATTTGCCTCCAGTGCGTCATGAGACCTCTAAGTGGCATGGCCTGCAAACTGGGAGGGAGGAGTATCAGGGTGGGAGAGCAAACAGTGAGTTTGAAAGCTGCTGTTCAGCTTTCGAGCTCTTGTTCAGGAGCACACAGGCAATGGCCATTTAACAATCAGGAAAGGTGAAAGACACTCTCCAACACAGCAAAGGCATTGCTCTCTTGTTCCTTTCTGTGTTCCTGTTTGACATCAGGCTTGACATGGGCAGCACTGTGGAGCAGTTGTTAGGTTTCTGGACTTATAACTGAAAAATTGCAGGTTCCACTTTCCAGGTGAGACACTGTTGTTGTACCCTTGAGTGAGGTATTTCCTAATATATTAAAAAATAATATTAAAAATTATAATCCATATTAAAAAACTAAATAGGCACAAATGTTGGATTCTTATGGCAAATTTGCACAAGAACAACGTCTACGTCGGTTGTACATAGACATAATATGCTAAACGTTTTTATATACCTTCATATGCCGACATCGAGCACGCCTTTTAAGATTTGTAAATAGGAGCTTAATTTTTACACACTTATGCTAAATTTAAAAAGTCAAGACCTCGGTATTTCAATGCTAAATGACGCAGGAAAGAATCAAAGGTTATAAAATCGCGATCTATTCAATATAAACAAAATGCGTCTTGCTGTAATCGAACCCGTTGTCTACTTCTACAAACTTCAAACGCGACCTCCTCCGCAGACGAATGTAAAAAGATTGCCATCTAGCGCTGGTTGTCTGAAATGTCACGTGCTACATAGAAATAGATATAATTGGCTGCTCGGCTTCTTACGTCCAGCCAATAGGAATTAAACAGAGTCTTCTAGCTCTTGTCCAATAGAAACAACTCTTCAGTCGAACAACAACTGACCAATAGGAATTCTACCTGCTTTAATCGTAGCAGACCAATAAGAGCTCGATTCTAGTTTCCAAGCTTAGTACGATAAAATCCTTTATCTCCGCAGACGTGGAAAAAGGCGACTATTACCACCTTTTAGATTTGACCTCATATTAAAGAAATCGTAATGTTTTCAGTACTGAGCTCTGTGAAGTTGGCAACAATTCCTGGCAACAAAACAGAACCGTCCCTTTTAAGATCCTACTGAGCATTTCAAAGTAAAAATTCATTAAAGTCCCCAAAACTTTTTTTAATTGATTTATATTTGACATTTTATTGTAAAATCAAATGTATTGAATTTGTTACTTCAGAAATGGCAAATCTATCTAAAAAGGGAAACAACGAACTACAACAAACTTCATAGTAAGGTTTCAGTTTTGACTCCCACTAAAGTAAAATGTATTCTATGGTCTGTTGAATCATTTTACAAATTTGGCATTACTGTGAAAACAAAGGATAGTAACTCAGCCAAAGCGCAGATATATGAAAAGGACAGACCTCCCCCAACCCAGAATGTGGCCTCAGTTCTGACAGATTTTCCTGGCTGCAATTATTACTGGAGTTCGAACATACCCAGCCACCCATATACACCCATACAGCCCAGAGGCCCTGTCTCTCTCACACCTGAATAAGGCTCCATGGCCGAAACGTTGTGTTCTCTTTCTTCTTTTTTTCAGCATGGAATAAACCTATTACTTGTTCCTTTGCACCCATATAGTTGAGGACAATAACTGGTGCCTTTGAGAAGCAAGAGGATCATTTTAAGCAGAGTTTGGACCCAAGGAGTATTTGCAATGTTGTAACAGATGTGGTGCAGCTGGTAAGAAAGAAATTTGAAATAAGCAAGCTTCAAGAACCTAGACCAGAATTAAAAGTAAAGGCTACAGTTCACTTTTATTGTGGTGTGCAATACCTTATCCTCTTCCATTCCAGGACACAGTGCAGAACAGGTTTGGAGCGTAGCTCTTTTCTCTCCTTTTCTTTCTCTGGGGTCTTCTGTTTGTGATACATTTTTAAAAGAACATTTAAAAAATGTATGAAAGAAGGGAAGGCAAACAAGTACTTGAATTGATCGGTGGTCTCACATAAGCCTGCAGTCCTGCTTGACACTGTAGAATACTGGATTTATTCAGACAATTTGCTGATAAGAATGTTTTATCTGTATTGTTTGTTTTTTAGGTGATTATTCTAACATTCTTAAATTGTTATTCAAATAATATAGTCTCTCATTCTCTTGGAATGCAGAACCATCCAATTTTTCTTAAATAATATTTTGTTTGCAAATTGGCAGACGTGTAGTCCTCAGCTACTTCCATCCTGTTGCTTAGGAAATGATGGACAGTTGTGTGAATAATCAAGCTCCAAATCTGTGTCAGAGACAGATACTGCACAGCAATGTACCAATCTCGAAGGTTAATAACTACGTATTTGTGTTCTTATCAGCTTGCAACAAATCCATGGTATGGGACTTTAAGCTTATGGTTTTTAAAACCACTGTGTGGTTCTTCATTTGAATTACTACCATTGTCGAGTGAGAATAGTCATAGTTGACTGGAACAAGAACCAGGTTGCAAAGCCACCATGTCCTCTTTGATGTGGGTAGTTTGGGCAACACTTTAATATTCTCAAAGTACAAATTCTGTGAGGTTTGACTTACAAATGTCGATGGTACAGTCAATGTGAGAAGTTATGTGGTTGTACTTACCAAGGGATTAAGATATGCATCAGCTGTTAGCGCCACACGCTTGTCCTTTCCACAGCGTTGATCATTGATCTTCCTTATTCACTTGAAATGCAAACAGAAATGAAGAGGACTGTAAAACAATTATGACAGATTTCATATTATACAGTGGGTATTGAAAGTCCCCTAACCCCTTTCAAAATATGCACTTTTTGTTGCCCTAAAGCCCCAAAAGAAGACCAATAAAATCAGACTTTTTCCAGTTTGATTCACAAATTGGACCTTGCAACATCCAAGTGAAAAAAGAAAGCAGAATTTCTGGAGAAAAAAAATTAAAAGTAGAATAACTGGGTTGGATAAGAGAACACCCCCCCTTGAGTTAATACTTGGTGGAAGCACCTTTTGCTTGAATTACAGTCTTGAGTCTATTTGGATACATCTCTACCAACTTTGCACACCAAGAGGGAGGAATATTTGTCCATTCCTCCTTACAGAATTGTTCAGGCTCAGTTAAACTGCGGAGGTGATGGCCTGCCCTCTTCAAGTCATTCCAAAGATTTTCGATGGGATTGAGGTCGGGGCTCTGGACACTCAAGGACATCCACCTTCCTGTCCTTCAGCCACGGTACGGTTGCTTTGGCCGTGTGCTTTGGGTCATTGTCATGTTGAAAGGTGAACCATCATCCCATTTTCAACTTCCTGGCTGAGGGCTGCAGGTTTTCTTCAGGAATTTGCCTGTATTGTGCACCACCCACCACCACCGTGCTCTGCTGTAGGAATGGTGTTCTTTGGACGGTAAGATGTACTGGGTTTTCGCCAGACGTGCCACTTTTTGCATTCCGGCTGAAAAGTTCAATTTTGGTCTCATCTGACCACAGCTTCTTTAAGGTGCTGTTTTATCAAACCATAAACGAGACTTGATGTGGCTTTTTTTAAGGAGTGGCTTTTTTCTTGCCACAATCCAATACAGGCCTCCCCTACTTAAAGCCTTTGAAATATTTTTATACCAATCTCCTGCCTTGTGCCTTTCCACAACTTTATCTCAAAGTTCTTTTGAAAGCACCTTTCCACCCATAGTGGATGGAATGCACTTCCAAACCATAGAGTCCTCTAGAAATTACTGTTCTTATTCTGAACTCATCAAAATCACCACAATTGATAGGTGGGAGCCAATAAGTTTGTTGTGTGATCAGTAAAGTTGATTGGTTATACCTGAGCAAGTTTACAAATGCAATTGTAAGGGGTGGGGTTGTCCGAATGTAGCATGTTTCAATTCAGATTGCGTGGCACTGTAGTATGTTTATTTAATGTTTGAATCCATATAAAAATGGAATAATAAAATCTAATGAGGCATTCCTCATATGACATTTTAGTTCACAAATCTCCCTGTTCATTTCCTTTAAGACAGGACCTTTCACTCTCTTTGGGAAACACTGTCCAGGGTTGTGTACTGCTCTGATTAATAATCTAGCTAATGCAGTCGGCAGTGACGTTCTGAGGATTTGTGACTTAGGTAACACTTTCACTTTTGTGAGGTTTACCCCCCCCCCCCGTGTTTAGAAAACACTTCATGCTAGAGTTGAACCAACAGTTAAGATATTTGTTTTTAAAGGTACACATTTTGTGTTTAGTCTGGCTCAGATTTGTATTGAGCTGTGGCTCAACTAACGGTGTTTTGGGCGATGCACTCCATTTGCTTAGAATAAAGTTTCCTGGTACAAGCAGTGCCTTTGTGTGGTCTGAGATTTCTTTTTTAAATGTTCATTTTCAGAATGACAGCAACATTGCCGCTGTTGTGGTAACAATGCATTCCACTCAACTGCAGCTGCGTAGATTCATCCACATTTGCTTAGTGGACTGATAATAAGTAAAGAGGCAGTAAATTGGACAGTGTGTGATAAACGTCTGCAGATGTGAAATCACATATCTTGGGGCAGCACTGCACTCCACATATTTCAAAGCCCTTTCATTCGTTTTCCTGGGACACTCAAATGCTGAATATTTCAAACGTAGAGGAAAAAAAGCACTCTGCACTGTCACTCTGTAGCCACGCCCACTTGAATGACATCCTCTGTAGGCCACGCCCCGCTCACCTGTCCGCCAGGTTCTGCGAGAGAGAAGGGAGCTGGGTGAGTTTGTTCCGCGGCTTTTTGTGGATTTTTATTATTCCTTTATTCGAATACAGAAAAAATGTAATTGTAGTGTACACCTCGCAGTATGTGGTAAAACATTTGAATGGGGAGTTAAATATCAATTTTTCACTGTTTCGTTAACAATGCTTCTCTTAATTTTAACAAACCGCTTGTGTTTCGCACACAATGTGTGTATTCCTTATACACCGATGAAAAGCTCTGTTGCAGCAGTAAAGACACTGCAGTATTGGCAGAATGAATCTCGCTTTTCCGTGTTTCTTATCTTTTATCTTGTTTAATCTTTCTTAATCAGACACCTCATTAACATTGCTCACAAAATCAAGCGAGTGCGTTTATCCAAACCGAAAGCAGCCCACCTAGAACTGGGTAAAGTTATTTAAATATTTTACAGAGTATTTTATTTGATTATGTTGTATATCTGTGGTACACACGCTCCGTTTGCAACAAATACTTATAAATTTAAATTGTCTCTAAATTCTAAATTCTGCTGTTTTTCTGTTTTCAGTTTAGCAGTTTCGGGCTGGACTACAAAACGGGGGTATAAGCGTGAGTATAAACATTTTTTTCATTTCCTTACAAGTCTTTAATTGAAATAAATTGTGCGTTATCTGTCCTGGTGAAAACGCAGTTTTCTACTAAGAAACTCGGGTTTAAATTATCGTCTAAATGTGTTCTTGTGTTTCCAGTTTGGAGTCTTCGGGCAGGACAAGCTTGACTCAGCTGCTGGAATTATCTATGTAAGTATAAACCTTTTTATTCGTTTACATGAATCATATTGAAGTACAGCATACTTCTAACTTGTTGGAAAAATTTGATCCACCTTGTCATAAGAAGATTCAAACTAGGAGATAATACATTTCTCCAGGGCAGAAGTGGTTTTGACCCGACAGCACTGTAGGTTGTAGGTTTGCTGTTTATAGGAATCATTTTCTGCCAAAAGTGCGACCACTTGACTTTTTTTGATGGGCATAATACATCTTCGTAAGAAATCGTTTTGTTTTCCAAATTGCATCACAATGGAGCCTATAAAGATTTGGATTAGTTGTTCGTGTGTTAACTCAGCCTTTTCAGAACATTTTGAATGTTAATCAAAAAGGAAATCGTAAAAAAAAAACAGTAGAATGTGGTAGTTTCTATTTAATCGATACACTATAGCTTTATTGAATGTTCTGTGCCTTCGATATTCTCACACTTTAAATGCAAGCCTGATTTCTTCAATAGCCTGCTAAACAGGAACGTTACCCGTTACACCAGGTTAAGCGCTTTATTCCAACTGTAGATCTTTTTAAACTCATCTTCTGGACCTGTCGGTTAGCTCGATCTAGTTTAATAATAAATTATATATAATAATAATTTCGAGAAAGCACCGCTAATACTGATTTCTCTTGTTTTGCAGGAAATTTAACGAAGTTCCAGTCTTCATTCTGATCGCTGCCTCGACAAATCCCTTGGAGAAACAGTAATGTGCCGTATGTTTCTGTGCTTTTCCGTGTACTGTAGTTGCGTGCAAATCTTTTTGTACACTGTTTATTTGTAAAAGCTTTTAGCGTAAATGTATCCGTGCTTTGACACTTTAAATCGATGTTACTTTTCACTTCAGATCCTGTGGATCTGTCGTATGTAATGGAATGCGTTGTTTAACGTTGCATGCTAATGTTTTTGTACTCTGCTTACTTGTAAAAAGT